GTCTACAGGCTGACGCCCCTTGGGTTTCGAAATAAATCTGTCGAAAAAATCGCCTACTATCCACGGAAGACGGATTTCGAACTATTTTTAGAAGGGCACATTAGCAGTCTGCATTGTTAATATTCAACGTCGCCCTAAACGGAATTATCGTGGAAGCGTGCTGCTGCTGCTGCTGCTGTTGTTGTTAGATTGGATCGATTGACATTTCCGGCTGAAGCCAAAATTCACTCGCTAGGAAAGGCCGAAAAACACTAAAAATACACGCCAGTTCAAGGAATAAGGCGTTTTTGCAATTGCGACTGGAAAACATCGTTTATCACCGCGCGACAGCAAACATTTACAAAAATTAATTTAAAGACTTCAATTGTTGCCTAATTAAATGGAAGTAACTTTGGTCGCGACACATTCATTCGTCATTCCATTTTAATACTAGCGAATCAATATCAGCCCCATTATTACCCGGGCAGGGATGAATTGCAATTTTTACTTCGGGATAGTTTGGTTCCTGGGAATATTTTCCATAGAAATCCGCCCTTTAGACAACGCTAGGCCCAACATGCACCACGTATTTGCATTAGAAATTATGGGAAATTGAAGTATTTCACATACAGACTGATAGAATTATAGACAATGGGCATCATTCCTGTGGAACCTTAGAGTCGCCCCAAAATATCAATAAAAAAATTGTTTCACTTAAAACTGAAGATGGCAAGTTTCTTTCAATTGCAAGTCGAGTTGCAAAGTAAAAAAAGTACAGTATGGCTCACATGTAAAAATATATTTTGCCCTATTAAGCCCATAACTATCTTCTCTTTCTTAACAAATGTTGGTTCTTCGGACATCAAATTCTACTTGAAAAATTGCAATAGTTCTACCAACTCACTTTTTCCGTTTAATTGTTGAAGCAATTGGAAAGCATTACTTGATAGCAACCATTACTAATGAATTCTCGAAACCAGCGTGATCTACATCCCTACCTGCGGTTTACCACATGAACTGCAACATTTTTTTATTCAACATATGTGCAGACATTATCAGTGAACTGACTCGGACATGAATCAGAAGCGAAAAGTGCAATTAGCTCAGAATTGACGATAATTAATTTCTGCCCATAAAAACTGCCCTACAAAATGAACTTTCTCCATAACTAACGAATCCAGTTTTGATCAAACTTGCGTGCTGTACATTGTGCGCAAATTTCGATACTTTTACTGCTCGATAATACTGATTTAATCTATTTAGCTGAATTATTCGCGATTTGGCAATCAGTTACATCAATTTTAGTCAATGATCTCAACCGGCCTGAAAATCGACCTACAAACTTACAAAAACAGAAAGTTTTATATGGAATTTCGGTTAAATATCTGGCATATCAATGTTTCTGTTAACAACTCACGGATAATAAACCCATTAAAATAATTATCGCTTTAAATATCTTAATTGTTTAGAAGAAAGTGTGTTTACACAAGGGACAAAACCATGCAACAAACTGGTTGAACGTGCATGGACGAATTGAATTTCTCAAATATGATAAGGTTGCATGATATGCTATTAAAAATAATAGCTGAACTTTATCGTTATGATCAATGTATTTGTCGAAAAGGACAACTTGGAAGTTTGGGGGCAAATTCAAAAGAATTAACTAGGGGACTGTAGCTTGTATTTCTGAGAAATAATACGGAGTTTTTGGTGATTTTTCAGAATTATGCGGCAAAAATTTAAAGAACATAAATCTCCAACTGGACAGAATAGTCCTTAGAAGACTAAGACAGAATTTCATGTAAAAATCTATAAACCATCAATCAAATGTTTTCACTGCCCGGAAAAACATTGCGTTTAACAAAAAAAATGTGCAGAAACTATCTAGATTCATGGGTTTTCTCAGAGAACTGCCTCAACCTCAAACACTAAAAAGTTTACCAAATTTAGTGGTTTTCAAATAAAAAAACTAGGGGCCAGTTGATGAAAACAAAAACATATTTCCATTTTTTTTTTCATTTATTGCCGAACCTTCGTATAACATTAGCATGCAAAGTAACGTTAATCATAAACTCATTGAACCGCACTTTCCTATCTATGATCATCACATTGCGTTTTCAGTATATTTTGCTGTGTTTTTGCTAAACAGATTAAAGTTTACAGAGCTGTTTTTTTCCTTTTCTGTTCATTATTCTCATTTTGTATAAGAACAACGAAAGTCCAGTTAACCGGTTTTCCGAAAAGGCAGATTAATGTTAAACCCGTTCACATTCATCAAAAGTATCGGCGTATTCGTTGAATGTGGGATAAAGAAAATGCAACGGTACATAAAGCAAACTAATCTGTAAACTATTCTACCTCCGGTTGTAAGTCGGAAACCTATCATTTCAAGTCAATAAATTGACAAACACATAATTGTCCTAAAGATTATGCGGTGCCAGACCTACAAATAGAATTGTCCACTGTGCTATTTAAATAGAACTTCCTAGAAGTCTCCACCTGTGCGAAACCTAATTCCTCAACCTTTGTAAAGGATCAACACCACTGGAGTATTGTACCTGCTGACAATAAACCAAGACGCAAGTGACAATAAACCAAGGAGACAAAGGATCAAAGAAAGATTTCACCTGAGAATGATAAACACACATTTAAGTCAGCAATCATAGATAAAAGAAATGGTGAGGGATGTGGCCAAGGAGGAGCAGGTCATTGGCAACGCTGAGAGGCGGCAGACTTTCACCCGAAGAGACAAGATCAGGGTGGCGAGTGGGGCTAACGACCCCGTCGGGCCATCGCCCGATTAATATTAAACGAAAACCCGAAAATTACATCAAAAGTAACAATCTAAGGAATATTTTAAATCAATCAAACCCATAAGAACCAACTACTGTTTGTATTTCAGTGCTTTGAGTGAATTAACCGGAAGATGCAAGAGATAATTTGATGTTGTATCGACGTTTTCAATAACTCAATGATTTCAATAGAGAACACATCAAGGCATTATCTTGGAAATTCTCCGATAGCACCCGTATCCTGGCAGAAATTCTGGATAGACATCAATTGAAACGTGTGCCATTATTCCGTGCGCCGCATCAAAGGAGCATCCACACATTCGATTTTCCAGCTAGGAGGAAGCCAGACTGCACCACCATACTCTGATTTATCAGGCTGCAGTTCTTATGGCATATCGATTCGCGGAAACTTTCTCAACTCGTGCTCGCTAAACGCACTTTATTCATTGCAAAACGTTTCCCTTGAGTAATTCACAACTCAACTAGGTTGGTTTTGAAGTTGCTTAGGAAGTTATCCAAATGTAGGCTGAAGTTGAATGGATGAGGCAATTTAAATCGTTTTTTTGAATTTAAATAGATCAACAGTTTTATATTGTTTTGAGAATAATCACGTCGCTACACAGCCCTGATTCAAAATGTTACTGAAACAACCGTTAGAACATGTATGTTATGAACACATATGAGCACATTTACCAAAGTTCATATGATCTAATCTGTGACAAAATATCAACAATTCCGTATAAAGGAACACAACTCTTCACATTACCTGTGTGCAACTGTAAAGTATTTAATGGGTTTTGCTACGAATTTACTCCGGAACGACAACATTGTAAGTTTCGCAACTGGATTCACTTTGATCGGATTATTCGTTTCAAACAATACATTATTGACTGGTAACTCGAAAAGATTATGGGAAAAGAATATGCAAAACATGTCGGGGTGGATTTGGGGTTGGTTCCTTATAAACGCACAAAAACCTCTTCATTTAAACTAAACTGTGCGTGACTAGGAAGTGTTCAATAGAATTGGCCAAGATTTTGCAAAAGAACTGACAATATGCAAATTTCGCGACTGGATTCCCTTTCAAAATGTAACTGGTTAGATTATGCATTGCGAAATTTTCCTGGAATGTTGTGAATTGTGCCATTTGCTCTCAATCAGTTTTAATAATTGAATGTGCTGCCTAGTTTAATGTGATTAGTGTTACGTGAAAACCGCACATTGAATTAACTGAACGTTCACTTATTTGATTGAATTTAATGTGTTTTTATTTGAATTCTTTAGGCAGATTGAAATGTTTTATGCTTCTAATTCCGTACTCCACTATATTTTTTTGGACCAAATGTTCAGTATCTATTTCCTACTTTCTGTGAAAAAAAACACAGTTCAAGAAAAAATTTGATCATATTGTAAAGAAAAAGTTACAAACAACGATCACAAAATTAAATTAAATTTAGACAGTTATAGTGGGGTTTGAAAATGCAAAAGTGTGGCAGAATGTATGTATTTAGAATTAGTTCCTTATAAATGCTCAAAATCCTCTCAATAAACTGCAAGCAATTTGCAACGGAACTGACAAAATTGTGAATTTTGCGACTGGATTCCCTTTCAAATTCATTTCGACATTAGTGTTTCGTGAAAACCGTCCATTGAATTAATTTGAACGTTTAATTGAATTTATTTGCTATTTAATGATTCTCACTTCGAATTGCTCTATCAACCAGGTTTTCGACGGAAATTTGAATAAAAAAACAGTGGACATAAGGAAAAAAAACATGTAAAACACTTATTAGGGGTGAAAATATGCCGGGGGTGGATTGGCAATGTCTTTTGAATCTGGCCTTTGCGCTCTTGCTACTGCTAAAAATAACAACGTTTTGCATGGATCCCCAATCTCATAAATTCCTTGACAACCCGAAATTCGGAAGGAACTCGGTAGTAAAGGTGGAATTACCTTACGTAATAAAGTGTAAAGGCAATCGCAGCGAAGGAATGTACAGCAGTAACGGCCTAATCATATACATACCAGGACGGAGCTAAAGTTCTTAGGAAAAGTGATTATTGAATGCGAATTGAGGAATATTGATGCGTGGCATACGTGCGAACTCTTTTGTATGCATTTTCACAATTTCGGTCGCAAAATAGATAAACAACCTTGTAAGAAAGAACTGGGAAAATCCCAAATCTGGTACTTACCAGATTCAGGGCAAGTTGAATATGATTACTTACCTTGGCTGATTCCTCGACTCCGTGGACTGAAATGTTGATGGGATATGGAAAGGCACTTGATGGTAAGTCTTTTCTTATAGCACAAAAGGTACTTCGGAGAAGGCCTTTGATAGATTCGCGATAAATTCAGCAAGAATGCATACGCCCTCCTAACTCTGACAGATGTCAAAACGCCCCAAATAAAATGATTTTTGGAAAAACGGCAGTCAGTCAGTTATCTGTAAAGTCCGTACTGATTCGAAACGATGCGAACTACTAAGTTACACTAGGAAAACGGCAAAATTTAGAATAGTTTTCTAATGGTGCTAAATCACTATCGGAACAGCATCCGACATTTCTGGTTTACACCGTACCGTAAAGATGCAGAATGCAACGGAGTGTTTATGCGCATATGTGAATGTAAACGTCAGCTAGTCAGCTGGTTTTCGACATTAGTCTGGAGAAAGTGATCCGTGCCCTCTGTGCGAACCAATGGCCAACTATCTGGAACAGTTTTCCAAAATATTACCATCCTGGAACGGAATTGGTTTATGGAGTTCGAAGCATAAAAATTTGCCCGATTGCTATTCAGATAATGCTGGAAATAGTTTTTATGCACGCCGATTGTCTGTGGGAACTTTCAGTTGCTCAGAATATCAAATTTTGCAGTCGCGAACAGCAGTTTTCTGTTTCAAGCCTGTTCTGTTACCGAATTCAAAACTCTCAGCGCTTCATAGCGGTAACATTTTTAACTACTCGTAACGATTCCATTTGAAAAAAACCGTTTTATGACGCCATTCGGTTGGGTGTTTAATAAAGCACCAATTAATATTTTATTTCATCCTACCCTAATTTGTTCACAGGAAAAATATGTGTGAAACTGTGAGAAAAAAGTTCTTCAATTTCTGCATTCTACTGTAAATAAGCAAGTTAATACTGATCCCAACTTTAAAATCAGTTCACTGATCGCAATACCCAAAATTAAAATGTTTTGTAACCTTGTCACTAATAATTCACCTTGCAAGAGAGAGAGCACAATTTGCTTCGCGGATAGACATATAAAAGTTTTGATCTGACAACACCGTAGGCGCCGACGTAGTAGCCCGGGCCGGCTTGGGTTTATTTCCCGTCACTTTTCAATTGTCGATTTTCCCGCTTGTGTTCAAGAGAGTTTAGCTTGCTGTTTTTGAGGAGAAAATCTCAAATTTTGTCCGAACTGTGAGAATTAGTCCAGTTTCAAATCAAAGGTAAGCACCTAATATATACTGGAACATGTTTTCCGCATGCTTCACCTGGCAAAACCCCAAAAGTGAGGTTATTATGTAGCCATACTTTCACTCTATTGTTTTTATATTTTTACACATACTGGAGATATTTATGCAAAAACTTTTTCGTTTTGATCTAAAAATATGTTCCTCCCCCACTTGTAGGTCATTGGGGTGAAATTTCCCAATTGTCAGTTCTTTTGAAATGTTGATGTCCATCAATGTCTTCAGGAGTCTTAATAAAGTCCATCCTCATGTTTGCGTTTCGTTTGCCCTCATGTTTGCGGTTTCTGGCTTACCTTGCAGTTCTTCTGAGTATTTTAGTTCGGTGCTCATGTACTTTGTCGGAGTTTTGCGTTTTTTTTTTAATTTTCTCTTAAAGAGGACTTCAAATAGAGTAATTTCATTGAAAAAAAATTCGGATCGTCCATAGAATCATGCCAGAAAACATTTACGAACTTTAATAAAATATCCATATTTACGCTAAACTTTGTGCAGCTGCACGTGCAGCATGTTGCCGGACTGCGCAAAACGTTATATGCAAATTAACTTACAATACTTTCGTGTAAGTATAGGGATAGGTTCAATGTTAATTAATATTTAATACATATTTTTAATTTTTTACGAAAACCGCGATAAATTTTTGTAGAAATGAACATTGAATTCTAACTACTTAATCTATTCCAATATCTACTAAAACAAATTAAACTAAACCAGAAAGGTTTCCTTAGGGAATGTATGCAATTTACTTAAAGGGAATTCTCGTAAAGTGCAAGTATGGGTAAAATAAGGGGCAACATTGCACATTCTTTAATTGCTGAATCACCTGGGATGTGAAATGCCACAATTAATCAAGAGCTTTAAAATAAGTCCCAAAGTTTTGCAATAACTTTATTGCAGTGGATCTTAGGCTCAATTTTGTGTCTCGAATCATCGATTGTTAGTTCTTGAAACAACATTTAACAGTACACGGCACTGGGCATTTTCATTTTCTATAACTAATAAATAAATATCGGGTCGTTTAAACATGATTTTCAAAAATTTCAAAGTATTTTTTACTGGTGGTCAGGTGTATGGATGATCAGCATTTTTTCTCTTGCTTTATTTTTATTGTACCATAAGGGAAAATTAAAAGGAACGCGAAATTCGGACAGACATGAAGTACATGAGCACCCAGTTCTCGTAAATCTTCGAATTTTCTTCATGTAATGAAAGTATTTTTCTTGAACGTCCAGGAGATGAGAAAGCAGCAGTAATGGGCATCACTGTTTTCGCGAAACTGACCCCTTTGATCATTATCGAGGTGATATTTATCTGATGACCCTTAGCAATATGCCCGCGTTATAGAAAATCTTCCTTAAGTCGTTATTTTCGTTAAGAAGAGCATTCTTCTGCGAAGAACTTGCGGCAGGAAATCAAAGACAGCAAGTAATAACATAGTTGCAGTAAAACTTTGACGGCACCTATTGTGTATTCACAAAAATCAAAATAAACAATCTAAACAATTTTACGTTTTGGCATTATCGTCGTACTTTTAAAGCTAGCATTTCTAAATGAACTCGTTGATTAGGCTTCCACTAGTTGCACAAATTAAACAGTTCTTACTCTTATCCAAGAAAAGCACCAATGTATAAAGTTGCTAATGTTGTTGCAAATGTGCCAATGTTTGTACAAAAAGCAAAGAAAAATGAACGACCATTAACAGAAAAACAAATTAAACACAATTGCAATTCACCTGATTTAAGAGTCGTTTCAACTTATCGTTTAGAATAAGTGATCGTGTAATGTCTTAAGCGCTAAACTTGTAAAAATATTTTCAATATAGGTATATTATACATGATTTCTTTTGCGTAGGTATAGTATCAGAAAACAATTTAAGGCCACTTACTAAACTAGGTCATGAGTAATCAAATATTGAATGTTCTGAGGCAATTACCAAGAGCTCTTAGAGGAGTGTTTGAATACGTTATTGACAAGAGTAAAGGTCTTCTAAATTGCCTCAATAAAGTACGAAAAAATCGCTCTAAATTGACTTAAGTAGAATAGTATTTAAAAAGCGTTATACAAAATAGTTGACAAAGGCACCTCAGAATTTAGCTCAGAAAGCTTATAATCGATAGCCGGTAAATGTTAATACTGGCCTAAAGTAGGACAACAAACAGTACAGAGTAACTGATATCGAGCAACACGTGCGTTGCAAAATGTTAATACTGAAAAACAATATTTTTCAAACCGACTTAAATACGCTTGCCATTTGCTTAAACGTTGCTTATCTCAGTTATTCTGTATAAGTTTTTGCATTCAATGTTTACTTTCTAGAGGATTTAACTAATATATCAGCGACACGTTTGGTTATAGTCAAAGCTTTTGTATGTAGTCAATAGAAAGTTGAATTGTTTAATTGAGAGGTTTTTTAACAGTAAATTGTGCGCACTGGTATTGAGTAATAAATCTATTAATTCTAAGCCAATTCTCCAAAGACCGAGAAAACTTCTCAATCAAACAACTGCTGCCTGCAATTTAAACCCATTGATGTCAGTTAAGCATGCTTGATATCGGGTTGAAGCGCATTATTTTGCTCAGAAGTATCCATAACACTGAAGTCATTACACAGAGCATTACGCCGCCCCATCCTAAGTCTAAAGACCAAGAGGTGGTGAATATACGCGCTGGTAGCAGCAGCCCCACTCCTCGTCCCCCCATAGGGCTTACCACTCCATCTACTGTACCATCATGAACTTCAGAATGGGGCTTAATGTGCAAACGCTTGAAGTGGATGATTGTTAGGGTGAACAGTGCAAAAGAGGCTGGAAAAATATTGATCAACATCTGTGAATAAATCAGTTGATTAATGGAATGTACCAGCTAATAAGTACATGACACCGGTGACTAGAACAGCACTAATTTGATGTTGGAATACGCCAAAAGCTCCTACCAAAGCGGCACTGCCCAATATTATTAGGCAAACTAGGGCGCAGGATATTGAAAGATTCTGCATACCTTAAAGTGAAAGAAAAATCAGTGAATTTTCCAGGCGAACAAGCTTTTTAAACAGTTCAATAAATATAGGTACCGACAAACATTTAAGAGTGGTAGAAGCATCAAAACCATGGTTTTTTTTATGAAAATGTCCCAAAGTGAATCCTTATTATGCATTTTGTACAATTAAAGTTTTTAAATTAATATACAGATTCATACATAGCGTGTTAGATCAATTGAAATCTTAGTCGTAAGATTACGAATTTTAGGACACCCTGTATAAAATAAAAAATATCAATATTATTGAATATTTCGCTTTAGATAACTATGGCAATTCTTAATAAAAAAATAAGCAGATTTATCGGGCCAGTCTGAAAGTGCAATAATATACAGGGCGTCCCCCAAATATCGAAGTTGTAGGTAATTTCGCACCTTAAGCGTTGAATTGTCCATCGACCGTAAATCACCCTGTATATCAATATGAAATATGTTTTACCAAAATTGGGAAAAAACCTATTTGTGACTTACGGTGTTGCCAATCTGCTCTGGGTTCATAGCCGCGAAGACCTTCTGAAGCCCCAGACAAGTAGTTGACACAAGATTGTACTGAAGGAAATCCCACTCGCCCTAAAAGATCGATTTCTTCATCTGGAACAATGTTGGAATTAATTTATTGCGCGCCTGTTTTCTGAAACGTGCCTTTATTGCGTTTTATGTTCTTTCAGGCTCTCTTAAGGGCTTTCACGGCGATAAAGATACTTGCACTCTGTAATTTTCTGTCGCCGACTATCCTGAGTTGAGTTTGAGTATAAACAGGGAATTATTTATTACCAGCTGAGGGCTAAGACTTGGAAAAACATGCATTTAAGGAGGGCGAAATTGCAAAATACCAGTTGACTAAGTTAAGTGAGTAACAATTACCAGTTAAGCTCAAACATAAGGTCCATATTCCACCATGCATTGGAACGAGAAAAGCGACAGTGCGATCGTTCAAATCATTAGTAGAGACTCGAGCCACTGTTCTGTCAAGAAGCCACTGTAAGCGAACTGTCCCATTGGCCAGAACCTCCAGCCTGTTCATATCCCACGTGACTTCCTCCCAATGGTCTGTCATTATCGCCGCACATAGCATGCCAGTGGCGCACGTTGTCAGTACCAGCGTTCCTTAAAAATGAAAAGTCACATAGCGCTACTTTAAGTAGATGGTGAAAAATGCTACCTAGCAGGAAAAAAACACTGGGGTGGACACTACAGTTCCAACCAGCCTCTTCTGAGTCTTCTGTTGCGTTAACCCCGCTAGCCCCTGCGGCGTTGCCGTCCATCAACAGTGGGGTGTAGTCCACGATGAGTAGATCGTACTTGCCACACTTGGGCGGAGCCACCCGCCAACCTACAAACTGCGCCAGAACTCTTAGGGCGTCAACAGTCGCTCTTTTGCGATCAGATTTGTCCTCAAGCCCAAGATGACCTTGTTAGTAGAGTCTATAAATAAGTACCAAATATAAAGACTTCCACCCGGAGTAGGACTGGTTTTCCACCTTATAGTGCGCCAATGCAAAAATTGATTTTAAATATTGAAGAGATTCACTTGCTTAAACTTGGCCATACTTTTATTTGCAAACATCCTTAAAGTTTGTATGAAAAAGCAGCAGCGGCAAGCCTGCATCCCGGCAGTTATTTCTTGACAAACGTGTCAGCGTAATAGCGCATTAGTGGTTGGATTTTAAATGGTACTCTTCAAAACTTTAAATGTGTTACAATGTCGAACATGCATGAAGACTGCCTTCCTTTAAGTGACTCAAGAAAAAAATTTAATTGAATATTTTTCTGTATTTCCTAAATATCTTTGAACAACACCTCCAGAAGAATAACGCCAAGTTTGAATCACCCTGTATACAAGTGTGTGAGAAGGATTTATGATTGGAAGTTTGAGGAAAAATGAGGAGGGGAACTTGTGCAAATATGTTTTAATTGTTCGTCTGAATGAAAAAAGTAAGTTTTGTACCAAAACAAAATTGAAAGGTAGAAAATGCTATTGGAGTCATAAGAATCGAAACATGTTTAGTATACAGTGTGTGCAAAGTTCAGTCGTTCTAATGCAACTACAATTTTTTTTCTGTCCGGCTAAAAGTAATTTATTTAAGAAATGGATGACTTTGTGTCTCTTCTCCTAATTTTAACAAATAATCTAATCTTTCAACAAATACGCTTTAGTTCAAAACCACAATTGGAATAAAATAGACTAAGAATATTGTTAAATATGAAAATCGAAGAATGTAAATTATGTACAAATATGTACATGTATGACATGGGATTAAACTGTACGTGGTGGTTCAGATTTTTTTCATTTTCATTTTTTTCTCAATTTTTTTTTAGTCTTCTGAGTCGTTTATAAGTGAAATGTTCAGGTATCAACCATTTCAAACTTGAATGATTAACGCATTGGATTTTCCGCAAATGTGTGCCGTTTTTTAGCTATAAGGAGATTTTTTGCGAAAATGTTGTCCTTTTTTGCGTAGATTACGACATTTTGTGCTCAAAGTTTCATCAGTAATTTGCTCAAAAAATTCCTTAAGTATTCCAAATGTTTAAGGATCTGCCCTCTTTTTCGCATTAATATAATTCTAAATGTATTTTTATATGAATTAGAAATCAACGAAATGCACAGCAGAATCACATTTCGATTTTTCAATCGAAAATATTTAACTTTTACAGCGCGCAACTCTCTTTACAATTCTTTATACCCAACCAACTTCTACTTAATTCGCATAATTCCCTTATAAAGAATTGGGGACCGTTGACCTGAAGCCCTAGTTTCGCGTGCCACTTTCAATTTTTATGTTAATCTTATAAAATGCCAATAATCCGCTGAAAAATCCTGTTAAAGTGAAAGAGATAGTCGGTCTTGGCTGACCTTTTATGCGGGAATTAAGGTATACGCTTTACAGACTTGCCCTACTTATTAGAGTCGCAAAAAAGTAACATCCTTAGCGTGCTAACGATTTGCAAGAATGTATGCACTTCAACCCTGTTGAATTTATGGATTTAATTTTCATGGTCGTCTCCAAATGTAAATTGTCAGCGGTAAATGGCACGAGGCTGAACAATCAGTAAGGTTTCATGGTGGCAACGTTTTCTTCCAAAAAAATATTCAATTTGGCTCTTTACCAATATTTGCCATCAATATTAGTTCTTATATGCTTCGCGAGCAAGCCTGGATTAAACTGGAAAGTGTTTTACACTCAAACTGTGTTAAAGTAATTAATTAAAAGCATTCAATCGACTCAAAAGAAACTGCATTATCAATGCATTATTTGCTGGAAAATGTAGCTAAATTCAATTTAATCGGTATTTCTTTCAGCATCCAAACTTCGATTAAACTGGATAGTCATGGCGCCACATACACGTGTCGTTTCGACTTTGTTAGCTTTAAAATTAAAGCGACATTCTTTTTCCGAAGACAATTTTAAAATCTTCAATTTTTTAACGTCCAGATTTTTTTATCGGACATTTTCAACAACGGAAACCAAATTTGATTTTTTCCCAGGAAAAGCATTAAATCTAATGCGGTTTTAGGCCCTCTTTTCTAACGTTTTGAAAGCACGAGTGGCTTGCATCTTCAGAGGTGGTTGATGCGCCGAGCAAACCACCTCATATTAATATGTTCAGTTAAATTGAGCTTTTAGTTGAAGCTGATTTTAAACCGTTATCAATAATTTGAAGCACGCTGCATGGCATTAAGTAAGAGTTAAGTTCAAAGCGAATTTTACGGTGGTTTATTAATCGGCGGCAATTTCTTCCCCCATTCTTCATGTGACAAATGAATTTGATTTCCGCAATTTGTCTCCTTCAACCATCCATTAGCTATTTCCATTAGGAAATCCGTTGGCTCCATTTGTATAGACTGTAATCGATTTGAATGGCATGGATATATCGTGATTTGAGCCCCTTAAGCAGATCTATTTCTTCGGTTTCCAACTGGGAAATTAAAGTCGTTTTAGGCCAAACAAGCGTGGGCATATGCATAGAAATTGAATTGGAAATGGCCACTAACTTTCCACATATTGGTCTACAGTTTTTCCAAGTCCTCATCTTTGAGATGCAATCGCTCTTAAAGCTTAAAAAATTTAGTTTGAATGCATAGATTTCCATCCTTTAACTATAAACTACATTAAAAATACTCGTACTCGTTAATGGAAAACTCCCATTTCCTCCTGATTTCCCTGCTACACTAGAACTAGACTTAGATTTGGACTGTTGTGCAACTAAACTACAACTACGGGCCCGAATTTTTCCTGGAAATTTACGTCATTCGTCTGTTCGGGCGAATTTAATCAAACAACATTCCGCGACGCCACGCATTTTCCTACTGGAAAAATGGAAAGTCTGATTCCATGGAGCTTGATAGCGCCCCATTTCTATCAGGGCAATGTTGTCAGTCTTCTGCGGGAAAACATTGGAGAACATTTTCTTTCAATTTTCTACTTGCGTTGTATAAGCAACATAAGCAACGTGAACAAGGGTTTTTCAAAAGAGTGATTTGTAAACAATTGTTTGAGCCCAACCTGTATTTTAATTGGTTTTTATCCGTTTGTCTTTTTTTTAAATTATTTGAGAGACGAATATTTAAGAGTGCTAACTGAATCAAAGCGAAATGGCCACAAATATGCAATTATGAAGGAAGTAGGAGGACGAAATATAATTAATTGAGGCTGTTTCCATATTAAACACACAACCAAAAGCATTAGAAAGAAAGTCGCAATTCTAGAAAAATCAGTTGAGTTGTTCTTCACAACCGTAATTTTATAACCAAGGCTACAAAATGTGCGTTGAATGCCCAATTATTGTTCAATTTTCGTTAAAATAAATTTTCCATAAGGCAAAGTTTTTTTGTGCGTTCTACGAGCCCTCTAATGGATTCTCCAGAACTGTGCCTAAAATGGACAACATCGCCTCCGTGGGCATTTCACGTCGATAATTATGTATTAGAAGTAAAAGGATAAGGGTTCCGTTGCCATTCCCGGGGTGAAGTCTGCTCATACCGCCAACCGTCCAAGTTCTGAAATTCTATCTATTATATTATAATACGGTGGTCAATGAGGTAATTTCGATGGCAAAAATTGTCCTGATTCAAATTTGTCCAAATTTCAATGTCCGTTTAGATGCGAACACATTTTGCATTTCAAACGGCATGTTCGAGCAAAGTGTAATATAAATACATTGCTGCTGAAGAATGTATTTAAAAAAATTACATGTTTCTTTCCTGTATAATTTTTATAAATGTTAAGCTTCTAGAACCAGCAGTCGTGTGCGAGTTGCTTGTAGTTTAATTTGTCCGATTTTTACATTAATCGAGGTATTTATTCATTACGCGGTAAAATTTAAATATTTTTTATTTTTTGTTACAGATGGCTGACGTAAGTCTGGACACGGATTCCAACGATCCACATGAACTTTATGCCAGAGGTAAATAGAACGGGTTTGAAACCAGCATAATCTCAAAAACTTTTTCCAAAAGCAACGTTTTAAATGTTTTATTGAACTTAATTACTAGGGATCCGGGCGTTGATTCTTCAAAACTACGAGGCCGCATCTGCTATCATCAGTAAAGCAGCCGAATTGTTTGTGGATTACTACAAAGATGATTTGCATCCAGAGATGGGTAAAGTCTACCTGGATTATGGAAAGGCTCTATTAGGGTATTGCCGGGAACAATCTGGAGCCTTAGGATGTGCAGTACCAAAGGAGTCTTTAGATGAACCCGATGAGGACGAGGGTGCATGCACAGAAGGTGGCAAATTAACTCAAAAAACTTGTTTTTTTTTATTTGATAATTTGGACTATTTAGAAATGGATGTTTCTGGAGCGTGTGATACTGAAGAGGTCGAAGATAATGAAGAACCTGAATCTCATGACGAACCTAAAGAAACAGCTTCGTGCAGTGCAGAACCGGGCCCTTCAATAGCTGAGGCGGAGATGGAAAATACAAGCATAGCAGAGGAACCAACTGACTTACAATTGGCATGGGAAGTGTTGGAGCTGGCTAAAAGAATCTTTGAAAAAAGCGGTATAGTGACTACTTTAGTAGATAATATTCATATAATTTTCCTATATGCTCAAGCCAATATTGTTTAGGCGACCGAAAGTCTTTAGCGGAAGCCATGATTGTGCTTGGGGAAATTCAGCTAGAAAATGCAGCATACGACAAAGCCATCCAAGATATGACAGAAGGGCTAGCTATTCAACAGGAATTATTTGGTAGAGACAGTCGAACCATCGCTGAAACTTTATACAAATTAGGAATGGCCTATTGCATTAATTCGCAAGTAAATGAGGCAATTCACAGTTTCAAAGAGTCACTCGCTTACTTAACGAACAAAATCATGGCACTGGCAGCGGTAGGAATTCATAGTACACGGTTCACTTTACTTGAAAACTAATGACTTGTTTTAAAGGAGGACGTTTCCAAGTCTGAGTTTCAGGACGAGATTACTGAAATTAAAGGCCTTCTCCCGGAAATCAAAGATAGAATTTTTGAGATGGAAGCGTTTAAAAATGAGGTATGTATTTGCGCCGCATACATTGTGACTGGATTGTCGACAACTTGTGGTAGCGTTAATAAAATCGAAGTAAGACGGAAGCCAAGAGAACAATCAATCGAAGAAGCATTGTTGAATTTAACATTTGACGATTAGCAGCTTCAATAAAAACTCAACACTTCATATGTTCTCTGAATCATTGATCTCAAATTTACATAAATTTCCCGAATGAATGAATGTATTTTATACTTACTGGTACGTACAGACATCTGCATTTTGATTTTTTGTGTATTTTGTCTATTTTTTCAATAAACAGTAATTTTTAAACCAGCTGTTTTTTTAGTTGTTTGTCCGTTTCATGTTCGTTTTGATTAAATCACTAATTTATCAAATAAATAAGTTTGATTCGCGCTTACTCTATCTACTTTCAATTAATTGTGCATTTTAGTGAGTAAGTAGATAACTCACTCAATTAATTAAAGTTAAGAAGCGCGCTGGATAAAAAAACGCTTTTCTATGTATACTTATATTTATAATGCGATTTTTCTTAATTCGGTTTTGATAGTTAAAGAGAGCTCATTCTGAACTTTCACATTTTTTTAGGCATTAAAAAAAGCTGCCGAAAAAATTACTGAGACCTCAAGTTCTGCAGCGTCTGACCCTAGTCCTAGCAGCTCAAAGAAAGCGACCGATATTTCCCATTTAGTCAAACGCAAACGACAATCTGAAGAAGTCGATAAATTGAGTGAAGAAGCCGCGTGTAAGAAACGGGAAGTGGAAGGAAAAAGTTAGTTTATATCTTAAGTTTTACTTTTAAATTAAAATAAATTAAATTACTTTTTTAATGGTTTCTATTCTAACTCGTCCACTTTTCAATCACTAACTAAAGCCTCGTTCATTTTCATCAGTATCATTAATTTAGATAAGAATTTGACTGTAAAATTCAACTACTGTATTCGGAACATTAAGTTATTAAATACTTTTTCATCGGACATTTTCGTTTATTTAGACACTCAATTAACTTCAGTTTAGAGTTTCATACAGTTCTTTTTCTAGCTTTCTTCGGTACCACAGATTAGCGGATAGTTGTAGCGTTCTTAAAATCAGTATCACTCGAAGGCCTAGAGAAGAATGAGTTTAAAACCCAGGTTATAGAAAAGTAATTTTTCGCCTTGAATCACCTAATCCAATGGAAGTTAGAAATAAGGCAAGCCAGGGCAGGCCTGTGGTTTGTCGCACTGTTTTCAAAATAAGCATCATTCTTCTTAAACTCTTGTAATGGTTAAAATACAGGCCGTAAAGCGTTACCACCACCCAAGGAAAGATGAAAGCTATATTTCGCTGAAATTTCAGATTCTGTTATTTGCTGAATATACTTTAACGGAACTGTTATAAATACTAACCGTGGATAATCCTTTGTGTAACATCCAGGCTGTAAAAACTATCAGCACTACGTCCTGCATATTGAAAGATATTGAAACTCCTGAAATATAATCCTTTACTAAATACACATCCATCAATGGGTACGATCTATTATTATCAATTAGTTTTCAACCCTAATGCGCAATTTGTCAGATATACATTATAAAAATTACTGTTTTACCGCTATTTCACGTGGTTATGACCGGAATTCTACCTTGAATATTTCCAGTTATCTCCATTTTACATGCGGAAAAAATGGATTGAAATAGCCACATAGAAGCAACAAGCAGAATGGGCGGTTTAGGTTCTTGAAATTTTGAAGGGGTTGCTTGAAAGGCTGTATCCTCTGCTGTGTAGGTGCCATTTAGAGCCACCGTGCTCGAACTCATCTCAAATTTCGAATTTTTTCCTAATCGTTAATTACTTAAAGCATATTTGTAATTTGGCAGTGACAATAGGTTTTTTACCTGGTCATGATTTCACTCATTAGGTAATTTGAGTGAATAAAAAAGTCCATACTTAAAAGGTTTAACTTATGATATTCTCGTTTTTTGGTGCTTTCATTGGAATTTTCTTTGATACGCAATTCACTTCAACGGTTTCAGTTATTTCCACTGTTTGACTCTACAAACTTGCATTTTTTCTTCTTTGAGGATCAATTTTACTAAGGATTTCATTACTTATTTTCCTATCTTCTGTTGCTTTTTGACTACTCAAACTCTTCCAATGGTTTCTTCTTTGAAGCTCAACTTTACAGAAAGTTTCATTTCTCAGTTTCTCCTCTTTTGTCTCTTTAATCGCGCACATCTTCTCTCGACTTGTTCTTCGTTTCTGTCCAATTTTACTTCGACGGTTTCATGTATTATCTTTTTTTGCTGTTTCGCATAGCACTGTCGATTTATTCTTTTGAATTTCAATTTTAATCAAACAGTTTCTCTCCTTTTGTTGCTTCTTATTTGTCTCTGTTTAACCTCCTGCGATATCTTCCATTGTAGACAATTACTTCTTCGTTCTTACTACTAAGGAGAATCGGGAAAATTAACCTTCAGGCCTAGACAAAAGTGCTTTATTTACGAAACTTACAGAGCAAAAAAGCATTGATGTAAACCCCTAGTTACCCATAGATTACAATTGAAAACTTTTGAATTCCATTTTTTTTCTATCATTAGCGCTTGGCGCTCGCATTGTACGAGTACAAACTGTGAAAGTTTGCGTTGTCCTGAGGAGAATCTTCATCGCTCTCATCCTCTCCCTCCGACTCGAAGGTGTTGTCGGGAATATCGTAGAGACGAATCATTGGCTTGTTGGGATCTTTCATGATCAAATATTTCCCGTCCTTTTGCTTCATGACAATATCAATAATGCACCTGAAAGATTTATAAAATTGGCAATGCCCCGGCTTTAGTTGGGTCAATTTTACCTCAAAATTCCCCAGGCGTTATCCATGTTTAGATTGATCTGGGTGGCAAACTCGGTTGGTTTGTATTGCTGCGTTCCTAGTATCACATGTTTGCTACTGTCGCGAACATGTGAACGACTCACATATCTGGAAATAATAAGCAAAGCTGAAACATGCTCGAAGCAGGTGCTGCAACTTACCCAAACTTAATTTGGTCGCTTCCAGCCAACAAAGCTTGAACGGTCCATTTGGCCAACTTGCAAGCGTTATTTCTCAATTCGTTAGCCAACACAGCGCCTCTTTGGATGTCCAGCTTTTGGCGCCATTCCACCCCATTGGCCAGTTTGGAGTCCCACTCATTCAACGCCTTGATGGTCAAGAACTGCAGTTCACCATTGGGCGATTGAACTACTGCGTCATGTTCGCAACGCGAGACCAAAGTCTGCACAGGGTGAAAACAATGGCAACAAAATTATATTTTTTTGCATTTTGCAAACGTACAATTCCTCCTCCCAAGTCCCATTTCTTGTATCTATAGGCGACGCTAGCGATTTCGCCGTCCTCCTCCTCAGAGACAAATGGGTTCGGCTCCTCGAACTTGTAGCGCTGCTCATTGGCCCCGGATTTCAACACCTGCACACAATGGGTGATATAATTCAGCTGCTATTGGCTGGTTAACTTAACAGTTACTTGTTGGCTGAAGTTGTGATTAATGAAAGTGGCTTCCAATGCCAAGTTCCTGGGCGAATTCAGGGAGTTTCCATCATCCTGTGGTGGCTCCACTGATGTCTCATTTACAGTCAACAGATCGAACTCCGTGTTGTCGCGCTTATCGAAGAACAGCTTGTCTCCTTTAGGGGGAACGATTGGATGAGAAAGTTCCAGGCTTTAACCGAAAAGTTACCAATCTTCTCAATGACGATGTCCCAAGAATAGTTGGATCTGGTGCTGCACATGATAGTAGCCAAAATTGTATCGGTAGCATACACATTTCCCTCGGTCTTGGTCAGTTTACGAATCACTGGATCATCAGTAGTGGTCACCTAAGTTGTTGAGTTGAGATTTTTCAGTGGTTTTTTCAGATTTGATTGCAAATTCTTACAGTGTGGAAGATTCTGTTGACGCTTTGTAAAGGTTTTTCGTTTTTAACGTTGACGCGATCGTAGGACTTGTCGTAATACTCCAGCTCGCCACAACGGACAATGTCGTCCCCTAAAAGAGAAAGTTTCCTTGAAAAGGCCCATTAAGCATCAGCACCTTCATACCTTCTTTAATGCCTGGCAAAGACAGTTTGCCGAGCCTAGGAAAGTCCATTTCCTCAATAGTATGCCAATCGTTTTTCACCGTAACAGAGGCGTCCCTGATTTTGATTTGGGGCTACACATAAACGTCTTATTTAGCTTAAGATACAAACAGGAAAGAGTTTATCAAAATATTTACCCTTACCCGGCCTTGTCCAAACTTGCGGACTTGGTTTTTCTTGTAGGCGTCCCGTGCTTTGATGCCTTTACCCAGAGACTGCATGCCTCCTCCCATGGTATTGTTGCGACCACCTCGGCCTCCTCTCATGTTGCGTTGGTTCATTCTGAAACGACCTCGCTGGTATGGCGGTTTTTGCACGCGAGTCGTATCAACCAAATGGAATGTACTCTCATCCTCATCATGATAATACGCGTATTGACTGCCTGAACCAAACTGCGAAGCATATTTGCCTAGAAAAACACCAGTTTTGTAGATTTTTATGTCGCGAAACAGGCTTTCTTTTGCAATTTGCAAAAAAGCCTACCCACAGTCAAAAAATTCAAACACCCACAAAATCAAAATAGAAACAACTTAATTGAAGTGGAGCAAGTACAGTACAATTCAACAATTTGGGGCGAGAGTACACGACAAATTTGTAAGCAAAGGTAAGACCAACAACTTGCACAAGAATATACTCATGAAACAAATGGAAGCCTAAATCAAGTTGTAACTTGGCACCAAGCAGATAAGGAAGCCTGAGGTATAAAAAAGTAGACCCAGAGAGGGGAATTATTGGTGGAACGATGATCAATGAGAAATGAATAAATAAAAGTAAAAGTTGTATCATAGGACAACATGAACACAAAAGATAATATGGGACATAACAAAATTTAAATCTGCGGTAATAGAAGCAGAGAACAAAGGCTGAGAAAAAATGGCAAGAACTAGATACATATATTGGTGGAATCAAAAGCATATTGGTAGGTTTTGCGAATTAAACAAAATATTAACACTCAGACTCTTTTGGAAGACCCGCTCTGAAATGTATGCCTGATTTCATGATTTTGAGCTCTATTTTGTGATTGCATTCATTATTTCCCTTTCTTATTCACTGACCACAAGTAATCCCTAAATGTCTATAACCCGGTATGGCAGGAATAAACAAAAATATGTAGAATCTTTGATTAATGGAACACTCTTACTAGCATATTTTTTGTCCTGGAAAGCTGCTCCAGTCCAATCGCTAATCTTTCCCAAGCGATCCCCCTTGCTGAAAGGCTGATAGGGCATATCCTTGAATTGATCTGGCAATTCACATGGTCCCCAGCCTGTTGGGTTGTCTTGAATAATTGGGGCGACAAAGTGGGGCACTTCATCCCCTTGCTGACCATCAGTCAAAGCCATGGTTCGAAAAGTAGGCAAATTGCTTCGAAAACACGCAAAGATTGAAAAACTTTGTGAAAAATCGAAGCCAATTCAAGCAACGAGAAGTAAAAGCGATTTTCCAACCTAAAATTGGATCGGCTGTCGCGGTTGACGTTTGGAAGCATCCACGATGCCGGTTTTGCAACGTTGATTAGGAATCTCAAAAAAACAGTGCATAATAAATTAAATATATTTCTGAAGATGAAAATAGCAAGGAAAAATTGTCATCCGTGCAATTAAACAAAAGGAAATAATTTCTGAATATTTCTTAATACAAAATATATTTTTAACGTTAACTATTTAACAAAACAAACTATTAAATAAATATAGAATGTACTCATAATTATTAATCACAAGTAAAAATACAACAATTTTTCTAGACGACATGCACACAAGTTTTTTATTAGTTAACTAAATATTTACATTAATTTCGACCATTCGCCACCTAATAACTGATCCTACCTTATTCCGAAAGATTATAGCTAAAGGTATTTAACAATTAACTTAGTAATTTTCATATCTAGTGATGTTCCTTTGCTAATTTTTTTCATCATCATTTTTCGTTTTGACGTATTTTACTATTCGTTAAGAAAGAGCAAATTGCCTTCAGGTAAACATGGCACACTGATATGCTTTTTCGAGAGTTTTGGTAAAACCAAAGTGTAAAAATTGCGTTGTAATCGGACGAAACGTTTCCTAGACATTTTTGCAATTTTATCGCAATATTTTAAATGAGAAGTCGTGTAGTTTCCAATAATTTTTCAACTCGATTTGAGTAATAACAGGGCAACGCGTTGAAATTTGCATCTTTCGAGGTGACCTCCACTTCTGAACATTCCACTTAAAAATTAATCTATAATAATTAGTTTTAATACATACATATATACATAAAATAAATATGTACTGCTTTTGAATTCGCATATAACGTAGGACTAATTTTTGGTATACAGCTGAGCTTTTCGTTTCCGATTTGCGAGTATATCGTAAAACGGATTATGGCTAATGCTTTGGGTCAATCGTTCTATCCATTCTTTGCGCTCTTCGTCGCTGCTGGCGGACATTCTATAAACTGTATGCTTTCCTTCTACCACTTTTCCTTCAGAATCAGTCTTACATGCCTAAAAGAAAAACTTTCAATGTAATTTTTTAAAATAAGGACAAATCCATCTTAAAGGACGATTTACAACAAAGGTTTGAAGCAATCAGAAGAAGACAACCAGCTTAAATCTAATAGCATTGAACTGTGCTCCGACCAGAGCTTGTGGCTGAGCTGAACACCCAAGTAAAATACCACGTTCAATTCACATTCAAGTGAAGTTGAGCTGTTAAAACCGTCGAAAATTTTAAAAAGCAGTTAATTTGGGCTAAGTACTATTGAGGGAAGACATTTTACCTTAATAAAGTCCGCTCCTCCACTTGCGTATAATTCGAAACAAAACTGTTTTTGCCTGTCTTGACACTCCCGAATCGAAATATTCTCCAAAGGAATGATTCCCCTGGGCTCCTTATCCGTCGTGTACTCGAAATAGTATAAACAATTATCATTCAAAATGAACCAGCGCCGCTTCCAACTCTTATAGCGGCCACCCTGCTTCCACAGCCACCCTTCCTTGTCTGGGTTGAAGAAGGTGTGCATCAAGTCATTACCATCATCTTCCGGGATTTTAAATGGCTCCGCCTTGATACTCTCATAGAGGCTCTGAAGATGAGAATGTCCACATAAATCCGCCCAGTTAGCGATTAAAAAATTGACTCACTTCCAGTAAATTCTTGGGCAAATCTTGGCCCTGATTAATACCCCGATTCATATTTACAAACTGATCAACAGAAGGTTTATCCTTGACGCTGGGATTATGTAAACTGGTATTCAACATGATGATGGCAAAGGACAGGACATAGCAAGTATCTGAATTTTCGAATATGTTATTCTCGCCTTGGCAGTCACAGTATCGTTTAGCGAAACATTCCATCATTCTATCGATTTTTTGGGCTTCGCCTGGTAACCGAAAACTCCATAGAAATTGCCTAAAAAACGTTTGTTTAAAAACGAAGTTTTTTTGTGAACGGCGCTTTCAACCTCAACGCCTCAACGAGGATAAGATGCGTAAAATCATGAAGATTCACAAAGGCTTGCAGAACTTTTTCATTAAATTCATTACGTTCTCCCAGATAATCTCCAATGGCTGTCTTGTTCAGTCCTTCGCCTTTATGCAGAAACTGTGCAACACTTTCAGGAGTATGCTAAAAATTTAATATATTTTGCGGTTCTTTGAACACCCAACTCGGAGAATTATTACTTGTAGCAAGCCCTTTTCAATCAAATACTCGATTCCTTTCTTTGGGTCCATATTAAACTTTTTCCGCCCTATGGACATCATTTTTGTACGGTTACTGTTTTTCCCATCGTCACCTGAGTCAAGCGATTCCATTTCCGAAACCACTTCACACAGATCATCCTTCAATTGCTGTAAATCAAGATTTACTTTTGTGGTGCTGTGCTTGAACTACTTTTCTTATATTTTCACTTACCTGAATTTGCAGCAAAAGTTCGGTTTTCTTGCGCCGTATTTCTATCAATGCTTTCTGTTGCTCTTGCGATAAATCTTCAAAAAAAATATTAATTTAAAAACTATATCTCTTGAAAGCTGTTTTTATTCAGTTATAGTTTGCCAATTCAACTTACTACTCCGGACTAAACCGAATTCGTAAATTACATGGCATTTTCCCAGATTATGTTAAGTGGCAGAAATTGGTGTAAATACCGTACGCGCACTGAATCATAAGTCGTTATTATTCTCAACAAGCCAGTTGTTTGGGCTTTCTAAGGTAAATTAATGTATTTTACATTAGCCGGCACAGACATTAAGTCGGCTTCAGGATGTGAATGGTTATTAATTGTACCGAAAACATACACAATTATTTTTTTCCACTAGGAAAATGTGCCTTGAATTATAATTGTACACTTAATCTTTTAGAAACCGACCAAATAATGTCCAAGTTTTCGAATGTTGAGACGGATTTTGTTTATTCATTAAAGTCGATCGGTGAGTGATTCATTTGTTAATCGGGGAAATAAAGGAGGTGATACAATAAGCAGAAAAGTCTCTGTAAAAATATATCGATAAACGCTTCGTTTCCGATATATAGCGTGTCGAAATTAGAAATGTACTTTTATTTCTCTGTTCTAATCCTTGCAGTGTTTCACATATTTGCCTCAAATTTGGTCAGTGGCGACAAACTTGCATCGTTCCAATACGTGTAAAAAACGTTATCAAACTATTTGCTCACTAGTTAAGAGACAAGAATTTCTATGCCTAATCATTTTTTTGCAGAAAAACTGATGTTTGATGTTCAGAAAACTTAGTTTTAATTTCTACTAATAGGCAATTTTGCATCGAGTTACTCCGAAAAGCTAGGGACAAACCCTTTAGGCTAAAGAAACAATTTATACAAATATAACGTTCAAACAAATCAAAGAAATAAAGCGATGAACAAAAGTAACTTGGCAATTACAAATAAGCAATCTTGGTGAAAGCAACAAAAGATAGAATTACAGGGAAAGTCTCATACTATTTCACGAACAATGCACTGTTGGTAACACCGCATTGTTATGTTAATTTATCCAAATCATAATTAAAATCGCTGTTAGTGATTTCTTTGATCTACCATTCTGCAATCGTACCTCCTGTTACTTGGAAGCGAATTGTTGCATTTAGACCAATCATCCAGCGAAAAAATAAATACAACACTACTTATTTAATGGCAAAAGCCTAAAAAAGACAACAAAATATTGAGTGTAAAATTTGTGAAACTAGAAGATGCTGCCAAAACACTGAACTTTAGAAATTAGAACTACGGAGACAACAATCAACCTTACCCCGAACCCTTAGACACGTTGTTTGAATTTTGAACCTTTGTATGAAAAAACCGTGTGTAATGTAAGAATTTGCTGGCTCTAAAGAACAAAATAACGACTATGTGAAGCCAGACGAAACGCTCAGGAATCCCTCTCACATGAACATCTCAGGTTTAAATTGATGCTCACGGACGAGTTTTATTTAATTAAATGGTAGCAATAATTGCTAATATGAGTCATTTGTTCAATACACAGCCACAGAGCACCGAGAAACCATAAGAATGCAATTACAATGCTGATCAAACCCTCACTAACCTGCTATGTTAAATGACTCCAAACTGTTTGTAATGGATCCCATTGTGTTACAGCTATTATTTACAAAGCCTGGGTGTTGATGCCATTCTTCAATTATTTACTGACTAGCCACAACATAAATATAATTACATTTAATACCCTAAAATGATCCAAACACAATAATTAAAACATAGGAAAATAAAGAGACATTACTAATGTTAGAGCGGTGATATCGGCACGTCACTAATGTCAACAGCGCTTAAATGAGTTCGTTTACACCGTTGACACTTTAATACTGTTGGATGATTTGCATACACTTGCTGTTAAAACGTTATGGATTGTACAATTAAATCAGTCGAATTCATTCAACTTCAACTAGAGTCTCAATCAATCAGCATATGCTGTTTTGATAAGGTTGGGTCTCGCCAGGAATTATTTATGTAAGATTTTAGTATAGAAACAGATTGGAAGCGATGTAAACGCACTCTACTCATGGTACATTGGTGGTTTTCTCACTCCCACTTATGCACTTTAAAGGTAAAGTGACTAGTGTCTAATGATTCATTAGGAGGTTTAAAATGTAAAGTAGTTTATCTATAAATTATCTTATCAATAGCGTCAGTCATGCGCTGATATAATTCAACAGTTTATCAAACAAACTGATTGTTATCTATATTTACTAGAACCTTAATTTTTTCCATTTAACATAGTTGTTTTCATAGCAGTATTGACGAACAAAATGACTAAAAAAGACCAATAATCCCTCCATCTTCTACCATCTCGTTCTGCCAGTGTTTTAGCTGGAAATTGAGAAGCATATACTAGACCTAACCAAACCTTTCTGTTGTTATTTGTTTTTGTATGCTGTGATCCTAGACATTTAAACTGTTGAAAATGTGGTGTTCTCCAGCAGAAATTGAAAGGAAAAGACTAGAAGCTCTTCAGAAACTTTCAAAGAAATGCAATAGTCCAATAAAAGCTGCGAGTAATACCGGAATAGACCAAAACGTTGCTACTCCAGCCAAATGTAGTTCCCCATTCAAAATGCGCCCCATTCAAAGCACGTCCCCTTTCAAGACGAAGCCCTACGAAAAAACGCCTTCGGCTACATCGACCACAAGCGTAAAATTGAATGGCGATTTACGCGTTTACTCAAAAACAGTCACCGTCACCTTCAGTTTGTTATCATCCCAAAGATTCGTTGTTAACATGTCTGCTTACTCAGCCCCAGTCGTTGAAACCATTAAAACGGTAGCATCCAAGAGTTTTGGTAAGGGTTGACACGGCTTGAAGCTCGGACAGTTACTTGCACTGTTTGTATTCAGATCCCACCACTAGAGAATGGAGCTTTAGTGTGAAGGATTATAAGGAGGTTTTGACCAAGTTAAACCTGCTAAGTTCAGCAAACGTTCTTGTCGAAGCGATGCCCAATTTCGTATTAACTTGCGTGACAGAGCCGGATGATTCTGAGGCTGATTTGGATACATCCCAAATGGACCCCACTCTGATACAAACGTTACTTCCTTTCCAATATGAAGGCTTAAAGTAAGTATGTATTTATATTCAGCTATTAGATAACTGGATTTGGCACGAGATGTAGTTTGTAGATTCAGCCCTGGTTTTGTGATTTATAAGTATTAAACATTTGTTTCAGATTTGGCGTTCAAAGGAAGGGAAGGTGTCTGATTGCTGATGATATGGGCTTAGGGAAAACATTCCAAGCCCTGGCCATAATGAACTATTACCGGAAAGATTGGCCTTTGCTGATCGTCACCACCGCCTCAATGAAGTACGTTTTACTTCGATAAATACAATTGAATTAATTTAGTCCAGTTTTGCAGAAACGTCTGGGAGGGAACAATAATGAAGTACATTCCATCGGTCTCGATAATGCAAGTCCAATATATGATATCAAGTAGGGACTTTATTGAAGATTCCTTGGTTTTAATCGTAAGTCACGATCTGATGTCTCGATGCTGCGAGAAGCTGATAGAGCGAAAATTTGGCTGTATTATAATCGATGAGTCTCACAACTTGAAAAACTACAAAGCCAAAATGACACAAGCTGCTATGAAAATCTGCAAAGTGGTAAAACGAGTGGTTCTTCTGAGCGGCACTCCTGTCCTTTCCAGACCCAAAGAACTCTACTCACAGCTCAGCCTGATCGATGAGAAACTGTTCGGCTCATTTTTCAATTACGCCAAAAGATACTGTGCGTTACATCAAACGAACTTTGGACTGGACTCTTCGGGAAAATCAAACTTACAGGAACTGGAAATAATACTGAAAAAGAAATTTATGATTCGCCGAAAAAAGGAGGATGTTTTGGGCAGTCTTCCGAATAAATCCGAAGAAGTTATCAAGTTGAACATGAACTTGGGCGATTTGAATAAAGCGGACAAGACCGTGCTGGAGCAATTGTCCAATCAGTATGTAGAAACGAAAAAGTCCAGCGACAAACATTCAATTCTTATCTCATTTTTTTGCGAAACTGCTAAAATCAAGATTCCAGCTGTGTGGTAAGTTTTTAAAAAATCACACCTTCCAGCTACATAGAAAACGTTTGTAAATCTTTAAACAAACGTTTTCTTGCAAATACAACGCCGGCTTAATTAATACATAGAGTCCTTAATTATTTTGTTCTACTTTCTTCTTTATGAACTTTTAGTTTACATATAGAAAAGGTGCTAAAAGAGAAGAAAAAAATCCTGGTTTTCGCCCATCACAAGATCATGTTGGATGCTGTTGAAGAATTGCTGAAGTTCAACAACTACAAGTACATAAGAATCGATGGAAGTAGCTCAACAACCCAAAGGAAATATTTAATTGATAAGTTCCAAATTGATTCACAGTATGTGTGCGCTGTGCTGTCTATTACCAGTACGAATGCTGGGATTTCGTTAACGGCAGCTAATCAAGTCGTATTTGCAGAATTACATTGGAATCCTAGTGTATGTATTAATTGTATTAGAGTTTTGCATAAATTTTATTCAAGAAAACGGAAATAAGGTGGTCTGATCAACTAATGTCTAACGGATAGAAAAACAACTTACTTAGACAACTGCAGGTTTTTAAAAAAATAATTCTCCATTTTTTATATCTCCATAATTTACCTCATTTTGGGTTGAAAAAGTGTTCATAGGCTTAATTCTTCTTTCAAAACTCGTCATTACCAAAAAGTCGTAAAACATTATATAATTTGTTAGAAGTTTATTAAGATTCAAATCGCTAAGAAAATAATATAATTAATTTTAGCAGATATTTTCTCAAATACTCAACTGTTCTTGGTTTTGTAAACTTATGTTTCTGACCCAACTATTTTTCTTATTTCTTTGTAGATATTAAAACAAGCAGAAGCAAGAGTGCACAGAATAGGCCAGGAAAATGCCGTTCTGATTCAGTACTTGTTGGCCAGTGGAACTGCCGATGACTACATGTGGCAGCTGTTGCAGAAGAAACAGGATATTTTACGAGAAATGGGTCTGACCAAAGAAGTTTTTTCGGTGGCCCAACAGAAGCAGGAGAAAAACACCGGAAGCTCTCGTGGAATTTTCGGGACCATTTCCAAAGAAAATAACACAGATAGTGGAGTTGATAACCAGGCAATGGATGAAGATGTGCTCGATGATGACATGGACGATATTTTAAGTAATATGGATATTTAGTATTTAATTGCGGGCTTTTTTAACTGTTTATTTATTGTTTGCTATATTTATATGATGTCAAAATTGAACTGTTCTAAATTAAACTTGTCGTTATTCATAGAAAATTTGTTTTTTTTCTGTAATTCCCTATTCTGTTCAACTAATATGAGCTGATGATAATTCCAGTCCATTAAGAAATTTTCTCGTGCCAGCGGAATCAGTTACAGATTGATCCTCCCAATATATAAAAAAAGTTCAACTTAGGAGTAGTTTAGTTTTTTTTCAGACGCGTTTTTGTTCGGAAGCCTCTTCAAAAGCCACTATTGGGTTGCTAGAACTAGTTTCAGGGGGAAAATATTTTTTTCATCCAGTGAAACTCAGCTACAGAACTTTTGCAGCACCCCGAAATGCATATTTTTATTGACCCAAAAAAATGTTCCTTAACCAGGAGTTATTCCAGTTAATTTTTCGTACAAGACGCTGAATGTTGAAGCTTCGCGCAAATTCGAAGGGATGTCGTTGCTGTGTCTGACTCAGCTACAACAGAGCTATTGATTGGAGACGCCTAGCTAGCTGTACTTTATTTTTAGCGCCGCTGCACGATTTCTCTTTAGCGCCTTGAACAGCTACTCTAGAAAAATAATTCAATTTTTAATTGTTAGAAAATTATTGTATTGTTTGGGTTTTTTTGTTCAATCAAGGAAATTTTGCTGGTTTTCCCTTCTCTCAATGAAACAATGCAATGTTAAGAGCAACATTGCAGCCGGAGGTTGCTTTGTTTATTCTTATACGCAAACTGGAGTCATTTATTTTGTTGCTTCCTGTCCAATTTTTTCTGTATTTCAACGTATTTTCTTTTGCGCCACTTTAAGAAGTTTCCTCTAAACCACGTCGCAACAGCGTCTCTGTCAAATGCCAGCTTTAAATGACTGGAACTAAGAAAACCTGAATTTTCCAACTCCTCATTGGCAAAGAAATAAAGTGCTCTTCCCTCCTCAGTATGTATTTATTTTAATTTCTGTTATTTACTTGATTTTAGTTAATTGCGTTTGGATTATTCGCTCGATGCTTTTTTTGGCCATCTGGGAAAACCCTCTTTGGGGCTGTTCAGGCTCAAGGAAATACTATTAAAGCTGCTTCAAACAACACATTTTTGCTCAATTTTACTCTGCGGTCAACTGCCTACTGGGTTATTTATGTGTGAAACTTTGTCGCCTTTTCCTCAACTTTCAGGCAGGCTTTATAAAATTTATATGCATTTTTTTGCGCTTTCAAGCGCATCTGTTGGACTAAAATCATTTAAACTCTCATGATGCAACGAACACATTTTAAAACCTGCAACTCCTTTGAGCTGTTGAAGCCTGAATGGGTAAAATGCATTTTTGCAGGAATGGCTTGGGGTTATTGGAACGCCACCCCAGCTGCAGATCGCGGCCGCAGCCCTCGCAAGAATAAGGAGTTTGGTCAGGACAACCACAACCATCATACATCGCAACCTAGACATACCCAACCTCTTCCAGTAGTGGAACCTGTTGAAGAAACCCCATGTTTGCCGCAGGAATCCTGTTCTTCCGTTGTTATGCCCAACCATTCTAGCACCCGTGTATCAGAAGTGGAGTTTGAAGCCGAGCTTCAAACATTGTCCAGGTATAAATTCTCTATTAATTAACAAAATTCCAAAATACACTGGCATTGAAAACGAGTTTTCGCTTTTTATTTTTGGATTTATCCAATTGGTTCTACAATGTTGATTGAAACTGACTAAATAGTTTGTATGCTTGGGTTTTTGACGCTGTTTTACATCAGTTTGGCTACTGAAAAACGTTTCCAATGGCTTCAAATTGGGGGCTTTTTGGGGCCGACAAAATTTTATTCATTTGGTAATTAATACCTTCTTATTGGCGAGTTTTTCCCGTTGTTACTGCGTCCTGCCTGAAAAAGCCACCAATTTGAAGCAATTGGAATAGTTTTGAAATCGAGAATGAAACGACTTGAATATAACTTTAAATTTATTGAAAATGCCAGGAGTTTCAAACGATTAAATCGAAAGTTCCATTTTTGCCTCTTATTTTTTGTTATTTTATTATTTCTTTGTCGTTTATTTATTATTCGTCTCACAATTCACACGTCTATCACACGAACTTAGTTGGAAGCTTTTTTAATTGTGTCTGCCTTGGGTTTTCAATTTCAATTTCAAAATTTAACTTAGTTAATTGCCCATCATTTGCAAGTAAATTAAGTTGTAAGCACTCGAAACAATCATAATTTTTTCGGACTGTTAATCTTGCGGTTTTCAAAGACACCCGATTGGAGCAATTTTCATTGAAAATCATTTTCTCCGTTTTGTTCCGGTCCAAAATGAATAATCCCTGCAATTCTTGAAAAATCCGACATTATCTTGTATTAAATTACATTGTGTGTATTTTATTTTAATTTTCCTATGTTTTTTTTTCATAATCCAGTGAATGTTTTGTATTTCCGTCTTCCGGCTTTTGCCTTCCTCTAGCAGTTTTCAAACTTCCCGCAGTTTCAGTGCACACTTATTGAATTTCTGGCAAATTAGATTTTTTTCCAAATTACGACCATTAAAGTTATTGTGAATCACTTCTTAACGTGAATTTTCCCGTTCCTTTAACGCAAGCAGAATATTTTAATTTTATACTTCATTTCGCAAACAATTCCGGCAAACTTTACCGTAAAAGACCTGGAAACGGTTGTGTAACTCATATAATTAATTTATAGGAAAAGTTGGTTTAAAAACCGACCTGCACGTATTGAAGCCATTATATGGACTTTGCCTTCTAATTGAGTGAAAACTTCGAAATTTCAAACACTTTTAAACTGATAAAGGAACAAAAAGCATTGGGGTTTCAATTACTTCATTGAAATTTTGGTCCTTTTTACCTACCTACAAATTTTTTTTCGAGTAGAAACAAGTATAAGTATACCTACATTTTCTTTAAGAGTCTGGCAAATATGCTATTGAAAATATCGTTATAATTTTGAGCCTCCATCCACTCATTAAGGGCCAATTTGCATAGGACGAAATTTTAGTTAATTTCCAGTTTTGTTTGCTTTCAAATTCTAGATTCTTCTAGTTCCTCCTCCAGTTTTCCAGTTTAGCTCTTTAAAACACTTCAAGAAAATCTATGTCCTCATTATTCTCTGAATAACATTCACAGCTACTCTTCTCTTTCTTTCTCTTCCATTTCATCCAATCTCATTTTTTTTTTCAGGAGACCAAGTCTCGATTTGACCTCAATGGTGAGCTCTCAAAGTGCCCTGGCGAACATTTTATGCCAAGCTCATGCCAACAAGCAGCAAGGAGGCACATTGTCGGCAGGAAATACTTTAACCCGATTAGGAAGCAGGCATACTGCAGTCGAATACGCGGTACCGCATCATTTTCATCATCATCATCACGCCTATGTGGAATATCATCAAGATCACATGTCCCTCTCTGATGATGATAGCAGTTCTGAGCCGGGATATGATTGCATTCGAACAGGTAAGACTCAGATTTTTCCGCTCAATCTTAGAGATTTGAAGATTTTCTGTCGCTTTTCTGCGCGGCTGTTATAAGTGCTGTGTCGTCCGCATCTTCCAATACATACGATTTTTTGTGAATTTGATGTTTGTCTTGTAATATGTAGAACAGTATCTATATGCTGGAAAGGAAGTTGCTTCGGGGTTGAAGAAGAAAGGGAAAGCGTTGTAAACGCGCACTTCAAACGCTCAGAATGGATGGACATTTTGTGGCCAGAACAGAAATGTGTAAAAGTTTGTGTTGTCATTTTGTACTGCAGGAGATTTAAAAAATATCAAAAGGTCTCCACATTGAACAAACGTTTATTAAAAATGATGCGCGACGCATTTCATGAACGTTGCTGTAGTGAATTCCGCATATTTGGATGCTATTCTACATATTCACTCACTTCATGTCTGTTGCTGACCCAAATCATCCTAATTGAACACATTTCGTCTGCTTACAAATATTATTAAATGGCGATTATTTTCAAACTCTTATCTTATCTCGCAGGTTTCGCAATGATAATCATGGCTTTCCTGTCCTCCACTCGAATTTAACCTCAACTAAAACCCCCAATGTCCCAATGTACATTGGGACACATTGATAGAAAATCTAATCTTCATCGTAACTTACCTTCATTCTGCAATTTTCATTTTTCTCATACACCTGCTCATTATCGAAGCCGCCAAGTATTGCACTAGATATGGCTTTAGATACAGCTTATCAGTAAGTTATAGGAAGGTGTACCGAAATGATATGAGATATCAATTCGGTTTAGTTATGTACAGCACGATCTGCATAAAATACATAGTTTTTTTGTGATGTGCAAAGATACGCGCTTGAAATGGATCGCAATCGGTCTTGGATTCTGAGGTTCTTCGATTTTTTAGGAGAAACTGCCGTGGTGTATGTAACTCCTTTGGCTAGTTTCACTCAAAATGTTGGAATGACTAACATTGATCAAGGTATTTTTTTAAGTTTTAGTCTCGTTTGAATGAGAGATTATTATAGTAGGTGGTTGCGTCGACTTACTCAGTTCACGTCTGAATAGGTGTCATTAAATAACTGGATTGCTATTTAATTATCTCATGGGAGCAGATAGTAAACAGCTAATTTATTGTTACAGAACTTCACTTTAACAGTTTTCCTACATTGCTTTTAATTTGATTTTCTTCCCACTTTTTAGCAGGTATTCAACTGTGCTTTCTTGAATACCTGTTTTATTTAAAAGGGTTGCAAATTTTTCACTTATTTGCTACTGTTAACTAAGTTCTTCTAACTTCTTCACCCAAGGCTGTGAATGTATCTTCGGCTCTTGAACCTAACACCTAAAATGTCCAAGCGAAGGAATTGAAAAGTTGGTTTACTTAGATAATCGGATTGTAAATCTCTTTTATCTCTAGATTATTTCTGTTGTCATTATTTATCTAGAAATGTGTATGTCTTCAAAATATGAATGAGTAACTATTTATTTTGGCGAATAGCAAATAAAATTCACTTACTGTTTTGTTAAATTAATATTTATTAATTATTTCACAAGTAAGTCTTTTCAAATATTTCCGTTTATTCTTGACTACACTCTCAAAACGTGGATTTTCTATCTTTTCTCATTTTAGGCTTCCAATATTCCGTACATTTCCCTTAGTGCTTAAAAAGTGTTTGGCTTTACTCATGCGAGAAATAATTTCACATCAGAGAGTTTATATAGCAATTTTCAACACTTCTTTGCCATGGATTTAGAAGACAGTAAAATTGTAAGGAAATGAAAAAGTAAGAAACAACAGGAGAGAATGACAAAAAAGTTTAAACTTGTTCTTAGTTTGTTTCAACAGTCGTTTGGCAAAATTTCGCTAATTAATTAACACCATAGATTAGTTTTCCAATTGCCAGTTGATAAAAAAACAAAATATTTATTTTGTGCATAAAAAATAGCGATATTTGATTTAAAAAGCAACAGTTTTGAACAAAAATGATCACCTATTGGAAGAACATTTTCTTGAAGCTGATCATTTCCCTTTTCTTTTCTTGTCATCACTCACAAATTAATTCATATTTTGATTATTTTCTGTATATGACATGACATGAAGCACACGAAAAAAAAGTTCGGAATTTGCGAAGGAAATTTTTTGAATTACTCATTCTGGATGAAATAAAATAAACCTTTTTCTATGCAACTGTAAAGCCATACTAGGAAACTGATGATGATTGATTGGCTAAATTTTTTAAACTTTAAATAAAGACAGTTTGATAAATTTTTAGCAGCTTTATTTTTGGTAAATTTTTATTTTTGTTGACAAATTTGTGAACTGTTTTATTTTTTTTACAGTTTATCCAAACCCACCGACCCAAGGAGCAGCGCCTGGACAAGGAGATGATAGTAAGTACTCTAAAGAACTTTTTAGCATAAAGTACTAAAATAGTTGGCAAAAACCTCACAGAAACACAAAAGCTTTGACTTAATTTTTCAAAAGGAAACAGCGTAAATTCTCTTTTGAAAACGACATAATGCTCCACTGAAATTGGTCCAAAAAGTCTCAATCCGAATTACAAAAAATTCTCAATCTGCCCGCAATTTTGCAAAATTTCTCAGGGGCTTAAACATAATTCCTTACGGTTCCACAATCTAATGGCGTTAAATCGGGGGACCTGAGAGGCCATTCGACAGAAAAATTCCTTCTGCTTCTGGTCCACGTGTTTGACAAAGCATTACTTATAATTTTTTGGAGAATTTAGCCCATCTCTGAGTACTATTTTGGTTCATGTCCTTATGGGACCCATTGTTAATTAATTATTTGATTAAATAAAACTTACTTTTGTGTCCGTATGGCAGAATAAATATGCCTGATGGCTGTGAAAGCACAAATAAATCATCTCGAAAATATCGCACATTTTTCATATTTTTTTTGGCAACTCAAAAACCAACATTCCTTGTGAACTTTTATAGACATATGGCAACATATGAGTTTTACTTAGTGTTTGGCAGTAAGATATCGCATTCTAACACAAACTGTATCTATAGCTCGAAGCATCCAGTGAAATCGTTAATGTGAATGGTGTGTTTCTAAATGCACTTAAGTGACCAATATGTTCATGATCACCAATCGTATTGGTGTAGCTCGTTGGGGTGTCCACTAAAATGCTAACGAAACCAAAAGAAAATAAATTGTCCATCACGCGAGTAATTAAATCGTTGTTTTTCTGCACGCACAATCATGTAGAGCATTTTGGTAAGAATTTCAGTGTTTAAGGTAAAATGTTTAAAGTCTTGTCGAATTTGAGCCCGCATTCAAATCACACTCAATGTGGCTTGCGACTCATAGATATTTATTTAGATCAACGTTGAATTTAAAATAGCACCAACAAGATGCGTTGTAATATAATTTTAGTCTTTGGTATTGTATCACGATTAATCTCAGCTCGGATGTATGAGAAAATATTGTGGAAATTTACAGGGATGTTCAGTTTATTCACTTCCAAAGTATTTTTGCTTAAATCCAATGTGGCTTGCTGAGCAAATGTTGAGGCGACAAAAAAGCAGACAGCAATAAAGTTCAAGAATGTAAAAAACTAGTTGAAAACCAATTTGTATGATTGATTTATTTTCAGTTTGATAGAATTTGCTTTTATTTTCGCAAATCACTTCTTCAGCCATTTCATAGCAGAAACTAATTTTTATAGCAGATTTTGATAACTTTTTCATTTTGAATTTTTAGGCATCGATTTTTCGCTAGCGCTTTTTTAAAGCTCGGCATACTGTGTTATTTATTGATATATTTTTTAAAGCTTCTAGATTGTTTAAAATATTTTTTTTCAATTAAAGCATTGATCAAAAATGGCTTTTTCAATTTTCAAAAATCGTTCCAATTGTTGGTTCAAATTATAGCTGTTTTCTCAGCCAATCGTTTTCCGCGAAACACTTATCTGAGATAACGACAGAATATTATTTAATTAACAGCTTAGTAGCAAATTAGTAATGTCACTACAAAAATAGCAGATTATTTCAGATTATTTATTTAGTCAAAATATGAATTATCTTTTTATTATTAGGCGATTAAACTGCTCAACAAAATAGGCGTTACACGGACCAATTTGGACTAACTTTGGAACTGCATAAATTCTGATTGCTGAGAGCGATTTGATTGCTGTTTGAAGCTTTATTTAGTGCGATTCCTGTTCAGTTAGTGGGTGCAGTTAATGTGCTTCAGATAAATTTTCTACAGGGTGGCAAATGAAACAGTGCAAAAATGGTGAAAGTTTCACATGCTCTCAGTTGGACAAATAAACCTTTTGTGTTGTATTTCAACACCACAGGCTCAAGATAGACCTCGTATGTCAAAAAAAAATTCAAATTTGTGTACAGAGTGATCTTAAAAAATCCACCTTTTGTTATAGCAGTGATAATTTCTTACTTTTGAATCGATAAGCAAAATCAAAATTCTCATCTCGAAGCTAAAATATTGCAGTCGACTTGATAAAAAAGCGAATTAAACTTTAGAAGTTTAGTTGAAAGTCGACAGATTCACATATTTCAATGGCAATTCGGAGTTAGGTTATTTTTCATGCAACCCTGTATATCGAATGTTTGCCTTAATTTGTCTATAAAGTTTAAGCTTTAAAATGCGCTTTAGATCGTGAAAATTGGCTCAAGAGCGGAAAAGTTATCCCTGCAAGACCAATAAGTTTTGAAGTAATACGTAAGTAATAAAGATTTTTTGAGACCATTCTGTAAGTAACAGAGAGGATAAAAATTCAAAAACTGATTTTCCTGATGTACGCGTTATTTTTATAAATTTGGCGTCCAAATCCAGAAAAATGTAGTTTTGTCTTACTGAGAGCATGTGGAACTTTCACTAATTCTGCACTGTTTCATTTGCCACCCCGTAGAAAAAAATATCTAAACCACTCAATTTTTACCGAAGCCCATACAGAGCAAATTGAGCAATATAATGCTATAAACAGAAATTAACTCACTCGCAAAAATCAGAATTTATCCAGTTCTAAACGTAAGGAAAATTTGACTCTGTAACTTAAATTTTTCTGAGCAGTTTGCTCAAAGAAACAACGAAACGAAAAAACATTTCCACCATCCAGAATCTAAAGAGAGAAAATATAAACTAAAAAGACGCTGAACAGACTGGAAACAGCACAAACTAAAGAGGTGAAAATTAAATGTCAATGTTTGTTTCAGGAAGTATTTATAGAAGAGGCGCCAGACGTTGGAGAAAACTATATAGAATCAATGGCCATATTTTTCAGGCTAAGCGTTTTAATACGGTGAGTAGCGATTGAAATGAGAGCAAAAGGAAAACTCAAACTGCAAAAAAATCAGAAACCAATTAGTTGAAGAAAACCCGTTGAGATCAAATATTGAAGGAAAAATACTCTTTAATTACCATGCTATTGGTGCGGCTAATCCTTTTCGCAAAAATAACAAACACTAAATAATAATAAAATTGAATTTATTTAGAGGGCATTTTGTGCCTACTGCCATGACAGGATTTGGGGCCTTGGCCGGCAAGGTTTCAAGTGCATTCAGTGCAAACTGCTTGTGCATAAGAAATGCCATAAAGAGGTCAGTTTAATCTGCACCAATGAGCAACATGTGGACAACAACATTTGCGATGATCGAAATGGGGAAACCATGCAAATCATCGTCGATACCCCGCCGGCGAATTTGGATTTTCATAATTCGTCTGTTCGTGATTGCAATAAAACTTGCTTAGATAAAAGTGAGTTTGGCAAGCAACGCTCTGACTAAAGGATCACAACTAATGAATGAATAAATCCCAATGCGTTTCAGATGAACTAATTGCTACAGAGGACTCAAACTTGATTTTAGACGACTTGGATTACACAGAAAAGCGGCCGTATTCCCTGAAAGATTTTGAATTAATCCGCGTTATTGGCAGAGGCTCTTATGCGAAAGTCCTGATGGTAGAACTGAAGAAAACTAAGCGCATTTACGCAATGAAGGTAAAATTAACCCGGTGTTGATCGCAACAGAAGTACATCTTTCCGGGGAATTGCAGGTGATTAAAAAAGCGTTAGTAGCAGACGACGAAGACATTGATTGGGTGCAAACGGAAAAACACGTTTTCGAAACAGCATCCAATCACCCGTTTCTAGTCGGTTTACATTCCTGCTTCCAAACCCCGTCTCGACTGTTTTTTGTCGTCGAATTCGTTAAAGGCGGCGATATGATGTTTCACATGCAAAGGTGAAATAAATTTAAAAAATACCAATTTCAAAATCAATTTTCTCTATTTGGATGCTGGTTTTAGGCAACGAAAACTGCATGAAGAGCATGCCAAGTTCTACGCCGCTGAGATTTCGTTGGCATTAAATTTCCTACATTGCAAGGGAATAATCTATCGCGATTTGAAGTTGGATAATGTTCTATTGGACCATGAGGGCCATATCAAGCTGACTGATTATGGGATGTGCAAGGAAGGAATTAGGCTTGGAGATACCACTTCGACGTTTTGCGGCACACCAAACTACATTGCTCCCGAGCTATTGAGAGGCGAGGATTATGGCTTTTCTGTGGATTGGTGGGCTTTAGGTAAGCGGGAAATTTCACTTACAAACATTTATTTGTGTGGCAAACCCAAGCATTAAAGTGGAACTAACTGGTTGAAATACACCGTTATAACGAACCGTTCTTGGGAAAAGTACCCGTAGCATACGAACATCATTGTGCAGCTCGATGCAGTTCAAAACAACATTTTTCTAAACTTAGTTTCCATGCGCCATGAAACATAATTTCGTGGGCTCCCTGAAAGCCCGCAAAACTCACCAGTTTCAACCCACAACCTCGAAGCCTTTATTCTCTAGATTTTTGGAATTTAATTCGCTTTAATGCCTAAACAACTATTGCATATTTTCGTTATTTTTCCCTGCATGTTTTTTTAAATGCCAATTTAATTCAAATTCACGTAAAAGTGATTTTTTCCAGGTGTATTGTTGTACGAAATGTTGGCAGGACGATCTCCCTTTGATATGGCAGGAGCCTCAGAAAACCCAGACCAAAACACCGAAGATTATCTGTTCCAGGTTATTTTGGAGAAAACTATTAGGATCCCCAGGTTAGATGCTATTAAACTATTCCTACACCCAGATAGGCAAATGGAAGCTTTTGTACTTTAATAGTTGTATTTTTTTAAACAATGAAACACGCATTTTCTTTCAGATTTTTGAGCGTTAAAGCCGCAAACGTTCTAAAAGGCTTCCTGAATAAAAATCCCTTAGAGAGATTGGGTTGTGGCAGCATAGATCCCTTCTCCGAAATTACCAATCATCAATTCTTTAGGTCGATTAATTGGGAATTGGTAAGCCATTTTAATGCTAAATATTTTTTTCGAAACAAGCTTTATCTTAGAAGTTTTTAATTTGAGATTGATTAAGAAAATTGAATTTTTCGTTTTTCTCAATCAAAATACTCAGATTTTTATTTAATTGATATTTGTGTGCCTAAATTTTTATACTCAACATGATGACTATTGGTGAGTAAATCAATTTTAGCCAGGAACGGTCAAATATTTTACCAAAATAAACAACAAAAATAAATATCAAAAATTTTATATCCGCTTTACTTTGCTTTTGAATAAACCATCGTCACTGACCGGATGAAGCAAGAATGCAGATTGAAACACAAAGTGAAACAGGTTAAAAAATCTTGTGCTTTTTTGTGGGACCATTTTGTATTTTTTTGTTGTTTATTTTCTAGAAATGTTTGACTGTATTGACCGTTGTTGGCTAAAATTAGTAAAATAATTTCAACAAATTTCCATTGCTATTCAAGTTTGAAAAGCTCAGGATCAATATTCGATATAATTTTTTTATATGAAATTACAAATTTATATGCACTTTAGTTAATAATATGCAAAGCTTTACTATAAAATAAAGTACTTCTCAGCAAAATATAAGTTAAAACTGGATCATTCTGTATAAGCGCAGCAGTTTCACTAAATGGAAGATTTCAGTAAATTTAATACTTTTTTTCAAATTTTTTTTCCAAATTAGTAAATTCTGTTTCAGCTAGAACTAAAACAGGTTCCGCCGCCATTCAAGCCCCGATTGGACTCAGACAGGGATTTGACTAATTTTCCACCGGAATTTACTGATGAGCCTGTACATCTTACCCCCGATGATCCGTAAGTAATTTTGTTTGAAACCCCTAAAATATGTTTCGTTGTATTTACTAAAACTTTACTAGTAATTGTATTTATTTGACCTGCAAAAGTTCACTATACTTTACTTAAAGTATAATTTTATAATTATACCTGATAAATTAAAGTTTAATTGTTATTGCGTTTCGTGTTTTTCGTTCAAACAGTCGGCACATTTAACATTTTGCAATTGATTTAGTAAAACATCTACAAGGTTTTAGAAGGATTTTAGAACACAAACTGGAGATGTTATTTTTCATTGTTTCGTTGTTTTTTTAAACACACTTTTGGGGCTTTACAGACATTTCAAACGGAGACCATATTTGCTCGTTTCTATTTAATCCAACTTGTTTTTTCTCAAAAACTCTGATTTTTTAACAAATTAATCGGCAATCAATAGATTTAACAGTTGAGAAAAATGCTTTTCTGCAGCTTATCAAAGTTATAATTTAATAAGTAAAAAAAAGCGAATCTATTCCAAATCTCTGCTCGAGTGTATTTCTGATAATATTTTCCTTTTTCTGTGTCATTCTCACAGCTATTTTCCTCATCATTTTAGCCCCAAAAATTCTTTGGAGCTTTGAGGCAATTCCTCAGAAGAAAATAATGGTGCTGACAGAAAAGCAGACTAAAACTTCTTTAATCTGCTGGATGAAGATGAAGGACGGACATTGAAGATATTGATTTCAACCAAATCGAAGCTGATACTTTGTTTCTACTTGCTTCCTCTTATTGCGTCTTCCTTCTCCTTACGAAAATTGAAGAACTGTTGAACCTTCTGCTCAATTTCTTCAGCCCTGCGTGTTGACGCTTCTTTAGTGATTTTTTCCCCACTCATCAATTCGTATCTTTCTGCTCTCTTTACGTGACTGATTTTATAGAACCGAAGTGTTCGGTCGAATGAGGAAAAGTTGATAGAAAAAAGTCCCAAATCTTCTTTGCTTTGCTGAATAAACATTGAGGCTGACGCTTTTTCGGAATCAACGATGACGCTTTTTTGCTTCTTTTCTCGCTTTCTTTTTCTCCTTCCAAAGATTATTGAACTAAGAAACCTGATAATCTTTCCCGTTCATGTCCAACCACTGCTTATAAATTATTATATATTGTAAAGTGTTTTTTTTATAATATTTGAATTATTGCAGACGTATCATTGCACGAATAGACCAATCGGAATTCGAAGGCTTCGAATACGTAAATCCTCTTCTAATGTCTTTGGAGGACTGTGTGTGACATAACGTTAATTGTGCGCTGCATCCGAATAATGTGCCGCCGCCCCCGATTCTTCGCTATCCGCCGCCTCTTTTGCCGCCTCCGTCGCCGCCCGAGCTGAGTTACGACGACGGTGAGTATTTGCAGATTGACGTTCGGCCTCCGACAAAGTCAATGCTTCAAAACATATTCTGCCTTCCTCTAAATTAAATTAAACAATTCCATTGCACGGATTATTGCGTGTATTGATAGTTTTATAGGTAAATCTATTGTGTATAAATACAAATGCAGATTATATCAGTACTTATCGACAATTATTAGGAGTGAGGAGCATTATTATACTACTGGACTGTATTTATAGACTTGCACTTTTCAATGTTTCGTCACTGGCTTTGGGAGCCGTGATTTTGCTTTTTCTCGGGTCAGTTGCCTGATTTCAGGTTTTCTAACTTATTACAATCATGACAAACTGAAACAGGCAAAGTTGGCGTTGTTATGGACTCAAAGTTGGTCCAATTTCTTCCAATTGGTATTTGCGTTGAAGTTATACACTGTGTTATGCCGCGGCGTGTGTTTTTCTAAACTATCTGTCTATTGTCATTAGCATTAATTTTTCTAGATTTAATTTAGTTAAACGTTTTTCTATTGATTATGTTATCATATGAGTCGTTAATGCTTTAATTTTGTTAAGAGTTTATAAGTCTATAAGGCCATAAATCGTCTTGCTGAGCTAAGACTATATTGTTAAGCAAATGAATTAAATTAATTAGATAGAATGTTAATGCTAAGTTTTACATTTAAATGTCTCAGTATTAAGTAACTATTGAATGTCAGTACTTTGCTCTAAACAGTTATATAGAAGTATAGGTGTTTGGGTTTTGCATAGTATAATTGAATACGATTTTTTTTTTAAATAAAACTACTGTATTAATGGGGGAGCAGCTCACAGTTTCTTGCACAAATCTTAGGTTTTATTATGCAGCTGCTCTCACTCAAGCTGTTTAATAAATTGTGTTTTCAAACGTTCAGTCGATGTTTTTACTTCAATTTGAAAATTAGTCTCCTGTTTGTTCAAGTTAACCAGGCATTGATGGTGTTGTTTAGTGGCGCATAGAAGAAACGGTCGGGCAAGTTTTTTAAAATATTTCAGGATCTCTTGAATTATATGCCCAAAATGGGTATTTTTTCAGAAGTAGATTTTTGTCATCGTTTTATCTTATTTTATTGACTGGCGGTACAATTTTCTGCCCAAAAATTACGATTTTTTTATTGATTAACTGCTGACCATCGACAGAACAGGACATATTTTTGTTTTTTTCCTATCATCGCCTGGTCTTTAACTGGTGGAAAATTAGCATATTTTCTGGTAATTCGTCTTTGACAAATAGGCAAATTTATCTTTAAAAGCTGTTTTTTTCCACCGATCAAAGTTGAAGGGAAAATGCAAAAACTCGGAAATTTTTGTTCAAGTGCACGCCTTCATTTAAAAATTCATGAATTTCAATCCAGAGCAGACAGCAGCTTGAAATTTTCCCACCCTATAGAAGAGACACCAATCTACAATTTCCAAACCTGTTGCTTCAATTGAAACTAACGCTGTTTTTTATTCAAGCCTATCAATCATGAGCCAAAATGCAGACTTTCACTCAGCTGGACCATCTCGTCTAAAAATTCAAAACTTTCAATCCAGAGCAGTTATTAACAGGAAAGTTGAACGCTTTATCGACAAGAATTTGCGCTGATAGTCGTGAGAGTTTCAGTTAATTTGCAAAAAACCCTGATGTTTTCCAACCATGGACAAAAATGAAATATTTTACTCAAATGAGCGCTCTTATTTGGAAGCTCTTTACTCTTGGTTTGAAGCAAGCAGCAACTTGAAGTTTCCGAACCCGACAGCATGGAAGTTGGAGACTTTGATATTTTCACTGAAATCGAATGCAAATCTTACTGTTACTAATGTGGGGTTAAAAATTAACACCCTTTTTGAACTGCCAGCTTTTGCCTAAAAATTCATAACAGCCAACCCAGAGCAAGCAGCAACTTGAAATTGGCTCCCCCTATAGAAGACACTTTAAGCTAAAAACTCCAGAAATTTCGCATAATACAGATTAAATTCTGATTTTTGCGAACAATGTGAATGATTGGCCCAAAAAGACAATTTCATTCACATGCATTCTCTACTTTAAAAACGCGTAACTTTCCGGTCCAATAACGTACCAACTTGAGCTTTGCACACCCAATAGAAAGTACTTTGAGTTAAAATTCCCGAAATTTTCAGTCAAGTTTACAGGAAGGCAAACTTTTTCCCAAACGGTCGAATGTTCGATTATAAATGAACTCACCTGCTCGCTTTTGTTTAAAAATTCATAACTTCCAAGGTGAAGCAACTATGCAATGCAATTTTGCACGTCTTATAGCAGAGGTTTCGGGCTAAAAAGTGTAAATTTTCTTCTGCACGTGCAGTAAATTATGATTTTTGCCAGCTTTGCAAATAATGGGCCAACAAAATAACAGTATCATGCACCACCATGCCATTTTAAAATTCGCCGCTTAGAGCAATTCGGAACATTGAATTTGCTTAGATAATCATTGAACAACAAACACTAGAAGCTCAAAATCCTGAATTTTGCAAAAAATTATCAAAATTCTGATTTATATTTACAACCCTGTAAATGTTGAGCCAGAAATGTGCATTAAATTTGCTCACTCTATAGAGCAAATGTAGGCCTATAAACGCATCTAGAAAAAACGGTGATTTTTGCCAAACTCTGTAAATGCTGACTCAAAGTGAACACGATTCCTCAACGAAACGTGCTCATGTAAAAATCAATCACTTCCAATCCATTACCGGAAGCAACTTGAAATTTGCATCCCACATATGAAACGCTTTAGGGTAAAAAGTCTTGGATCTCTCACTGAAATAAAAATGGAAAATTTCAGTTTTTCCAACGCTGAAATTCTGAGTCAAAAATTAATCCTCAACGGCACGCTTTTGTTGAAAAATCTACAAATTCTGATCCGGAGCAAACGCAGCAACGAGTTGAAGTTAGCACACATTATGGAAGACACTTGATGTTAAAAAACGTGAAACTTTCACGTAATTGGAGCAAAATCCTGACTGTGTCAACCCCGTAAATGTTGAGCCAAAAATTTGCAATTTTATTCTTTGAGAATTCCTAACTTTCCGTGTGGTACAAGCAGCAACTTGAAATTTGCACATCCCATGGAAAACACTTGAAGTTCAAAGGACGGAAATTTTCATCTGAGTCGCACAACATTCTGATTTTTTTCATTTCTGCCAACGCTGGCTAACAGTAAAATAGTCAGTCCACTGCCCGACCTCTTTTAAAAAATCACAAGTTTCAGTTCAGAAAGAAGAATTTTTTTGGGTTCTAAAGTATCGCATTGTTGTTGGCAATTTATGGTTCTCCGATGTTTTCTAAACAAAAAATGTATTTCACTGGTTCAAGTCGATTTCTCACCGTTTTCTGGATATTTCACATGAAAATGTTAGGTGCTAAAATACATATTTTAACCCCCACAATTACTTAGAATGTACTGAAGACGCACCGACAACTTATTTTCCAATGAAAAATTCGCATTTTGGTTTGTGTTTAGCCGAAAGAAGATTTTCATTTTTTGCGTGAGTTAATAAATGTATTGAACAGAAACAGACGAGTTTAGGTTGAAAAATTGTTATGAAATAATACTTTCCAACAACTTTACAGAGTTTAAAAACTAGTTTAAAGTAGAGATTTTCTTCATTTCTGCCAACGCTGGCTAACAGTAAAACAGTCAGTCCACTGCCCGACCTCTTTTAAAAAATCACAAGTTTCAGTTGGAAGCAGGAATTCACTTGAGAGCTACACAATTCATAAGAGACATCTGAAGCTACAAAACTGGAAATTTTCGCTCAAATCGCACAAAATTCTCATTTTTTCCCGCCGGTTAAGTGCCTCATCCAGTGCCCCCAACAACCTCGAACTGCACATCATTTTCATTGCAATGAAGCGACGAATGAGCCTAAACAATAAACCCTGAACCCAAGTTCGGTTAAAAAACCGATTGATTCTACTTCCGTTTATCGTAAATATGCCTCAGAAACCTAAAAACTTTTCCTCAATTAAGCGTCCGTCTGTAACGTTCAGTGGAAAAATGACCGGAGGAGAGCTCAAATACTTCCTTTGAATAATGCGTGAATGGATTTTTCAAAAATTTATTTTAAAAACATGTGTTCTTAGAGTTAGGGAATCTTAATATTCTAACATATGAATTTACAGCTAAATTATAAGTAGTTCGATAGTTGACTGAAGTGCGCCATCACAAAAGTGAACTTGCTACTGAATGCCGAGTAAAATCATGCGGATGCCGTTTTATCTATAATTGCTTCTTGCACAGTTTCCACCGCATGTTTAGTCTAGTCTGTTTTCATACAGGGATTTGCTCTCAGTTGGCGGTGCATTTTGGTAATTTCTGTGCCGGGTCGTTTTACATTTACACAAAATCTATCACCTCGACTAACTTAACTCCTTAATCACTTACGGGTACTTTTGAAACTATTTACACTTTTATCATTACTTGTAAAGACTATGTAAAACTCTTGGGATTTCGGCCAATACACAGAGCAAACAAAGAAGTAAAACACAGTGGGAATCAGCCAAATAAAGATCTAGAAAGTTAAGCTACGAATTTTCCACGACAAAGGTAAATAATCACTATATTTACAGGCAACTAGAAATAAGATGATATAGGAGGATTTAAACACTACCGCCCAAACGGCCTGGTCCATAAACGCTATTTGATATTTACAAATCGTATGTTTTAAAACAAGTCAACTACCGAACTGTCCTTATGGATAGATTGAATCCTTCAGGACATTTTATGTATCAACAGTTTATTACAGTAAGGCTCCGACAACAGCTGGGTAAGAAGAAAATTGTCCAATTGAGCGGAAGAGGGAAAAATAACTCATGGATTGTTTCTTTGCCTCAATAATTTCGTGTTCAATTCAATGATTTTTTAAAAACCGTATTTTAATCAAGAAAAGTTTCACCTGTTGATTTCAACTTGGATGTCTTGCGTGGCTTTTTTTCTTACCCGACTTCGTAGTCGACATTATAAGGCTTTGGAATTGAAAACGTCTTATAAATTAATCTCGAGTTGAGCAGTCCGTGTAACACTTGCGGCATAAAAATATACAACAACCGCACAAGAATAACATAACTGATATTGTGGCGGCTCCAACATAAAACCAATTGATTTTTGCGGTGGAAACTTGCACACAAACGTCCGGAGATTCGTCATTGTAGAACGAACCTGAAGCGAAAGTTTGAAAAATTGAAACTGGAATGTGAAAAATTGCTCATTTTAGAGCAGGCGTTGATTTGGAGAGTTTTACCTTTATGGTCAGTTGCATTCGGGCAGTTGATCACTCCATTGCAAACGAGTCGAGCGGGAATACAAACTCCAAGCTCCCCAGGACATGTAAATTCGCATTCCTCCAGCTCATTGGAGGCTCCTCCTTCAACAAGTTTCGACGTTTTGACCGATCCATCTATATTTCGGGGCAAATGGAACAGCTCCGTCCAAGTAATCTTAAATGCTGCCCTGGTGGGTGAGGATCGGCCTAAATGAGCACATTTTCCATTTCAAAACAGTCGTAGTCAATGGAGCATGAGCTTTTACCGATAAATTGGATGGTGATGGAAGGTTCGCCTCCATCAGGGCTTAACTCCTTTGAGGACAAAATCGGAATTTCTTTAACAAGTGACACATTTTGTCCGCATAGCGACAGGAACGGATTGGGCCTGCCCTTGAGGAAGATGTCCACTATTCCATCATCGCAAGCGTTGGAGTTGAACTTGATGTGGTCGAAATGCAACCAAAGGTCTCTGTCGTTGCTGACTTTCACTTCCCAAATACACCTGGAATGTTTGGTTGCTCTGTTAAACAGCTTCTTATGTCGAGTAGGCTATAAAGAGTGCGAAGTAGCTTCTTTGCGTGAACGTTTCCTACCGTATAGACTTTGGAGGTTCAACATATCCAATGGCTTCGTAGTATGGATAGTGTATTTCCCCATCGGTTACGGGGTGGATAATGGCCGGGCCACATAAAGGTCCATGGACGAATTCATATGTGGCTTCAAACAGGGGACTCGGTTGTTTGAAGTAGCTTTGGGCGCTGTGAGTACTGTCCACAATCAATTGCAAATTTAGGTGTTCACTTTTGGAGACGATCTGAAAATCACCAATTCACACAATTTTATACGGTTATTGGCGATTTATTTTGCTTTTTTTTTGAATATATACAGGGTGGTCTTTGGCTAATTTGTCTTACTCGAAAGATAATGTTTCTGAGGTACAGGCTGCTAAAGGGGCAATCAGTTTTTCGGTTTTTTTAGTGGACTGTTAACCAGTTTTATTGGTACTAAGAAAATGTGTGAAAACGAGGGATCCAAATTTTCAATTGTAATCTTGTAGATCGCAAAGGGCGCTAGCTGCAATGGACTGGAGCCATGTAAAACATCCGAATTTTTTGGGTTCTAAAGTATCGCATTGTTGTTGGCAATTTCTGGTTCTCCGATGTTTTCTAAACAAAAAATGTATTTCATTGGTTCAAGTCGATTTCTCATCGTTTTCTGGACATTTCACATGAAAATGTTAGGTGCTAAAATACATATTTTGACCCCCACAATTACTTAGAATGTACTGAAGACGCACCGACAACTTATTTTCCAATGAAAAATTCGCATTTTGGTTTGTGTTTAGCCGAGAGAAGATTTTCATTTTTTGCGTGAGTTAATAAATGTATTGAACAGAAACAGACGAGTTCAGGTTGAAAAATTGTTATGAAATAATACTTTCCAAAAACTTTACAGAGTTTAAAAACTAGTTTAAAGTAGCTTTTAACTTGCCTAAATAAATACTGTTCAATTTTATTGAAATTTTGCGCAGACTGTTTCTTTTATTTAGATCTCCAAGTTGGGATGAATAGTTCAAAACGTCTCTAGAGGTTTCAATGTGAAATATTTCGCAATCTGTGAGAGATATCGACTTGAATCAAGTACACATTTTACCAACCAAAGATAATTTTTTACCCCAAAAACTATGAAGACTGCAAGATTTTACAAAGAGCACAAAAATCTCCGCAAATGGCTAGTGCATCACTTCACAAAAAATCAGTTAATTCCAGCGACCAAATAAAAAGTTCTGGTAGTTTATGAACCAAGACGCTTCACCACTTGCCCAAAGCGTATGAACTCGATGACTTCATCAAGCTATGAGTGATGATCAGAGCGAGTTTCATTAAAATCCATCGCGTATTTCCAAAAACGGATTTTTTTTGCAACTTTGTCCGACTTTTCTTAATAAAAATTAGGTGAAATACTCGCCTTTTGAGCCTTCGTGTACTCACCTGCGTAGAGAACGATTGTCGCTTACAAATACAAGTAACATCACCAGAATGCATGGCTTTACTCAAAGGAGTTGGGCTGTGAGAGGAGTTTGCGCCAGGTGGTAAAGGCTCCCATATCACGAGCTTGTCCACTCGATCCTCAATGCAATTGATCCGAGGACCGCTATTATAGGGGTTATCCTTATAGGAAAAAGCGTGTTATTCTCGCAACTTGACCGGAAAAATTTGCAGCTACCTTGAAATTTACACAAGTAATCGTCAGGATTACTCGGGAAAATAATCGCTTATCGCTGACAAAGCGATAAAGACACGAAACGTCCTCATTAGTATGCTGTTGCTTGTAAATCAGGGTGTTGAGTGGCGATCGCATCCATCCCTTTGATTGCTTCCAGGATGCGAATACTTCATCGCATTTCTTCCCTGGAACTGGTTCGCCCAGTTTGGTGTTATTGAAGAAATCGTAATGGGCCCAGTAGTACAAAGACGAGCTAGAAATTCACAATTAGGCACGTTTTACAGGCAGTGAGCCCCAGAAGGAATTTGGTCAAGTAAGAGATTGACCGAAATCTGGAAGGTCTGCTCGAGATGAAAATGAACATCTTGAAGTTGTACTTTGTTTGGAAGAAAATCCTTGCACTCAACTTTCGCAGATTGAAGCCAATTTACACTTGCACAGTGCAATAGTTATTTGAAGATGATTTCGATGGGCGAAATAAGTTTTGCAACCTATGTGGAATCTAGACAATAATTTAGTAAAAAGCATTTTTTTGCCATGAAGCTACGTTCTGTGCAATGCTCATTTGAACCAACCAAATTGCCGATATTGGGCAATAGAGAATCCTCATTGGATGATGGAAGTCCACAGCCAAAAAAGAAAAACTGATTTTCCAACACGATGATGGTCCTCCAGATTATTCTGCTTTTGTGCGTAAATTTTGGGGTAAAACCCTTTCTAATCGGTGGATAGAAAAGAGAGGACCTGCTATGCCTCCAGATTTAACTCCAACAGATTTATTTTTGTGAAGTTACCTTCAATCGAAACCATTTATTAGGCCAAACTATCCGCAGGAGTTGAAAGAGAAGATCCGCATAAATGTGCGTGCCTTAACTCCGGAAATGGTTGAAAACGTGCCAGAAGAGTTTATTGATCGCCTTCGAATTATCCATCCGTAAACGGCGCACATTTTGAACATTAATTGAATTGATGTTCTGTTTCTTGAAATAAATCTGTCCTTTCAGGACAACAGAAACTTGAAAAATCAGTTAATGGTTTCTCGCAAAAAATCGCATTTACGAAGAAAAATTGACGGACAATCCGGAGAATTTTAAATAAATTTCAACATTTCTTCTGGGACTCAGTGCACGAAAGGAATTAAATCGACTCACCCGCTATAACTACCGGTTTGACTTTCAAATTTAACAAACAGCGAATTTCCTGTTGAAACGAAATTGTACTTTTCCATTGCTTTCGAAAATGTATCACAGAAGGTTTTGATGATTTTTGAATCGTCCGCCCATGAAGCGTCGTACAGAGTCAACGATTCACCACAGTCACTATCAGTGGGCTGAATGGGCGATTCGATACGATTGATCCTGAAACTGATTTTGGAATTTTCAGTGGTTTTTGAAGATTCGGCGTAAAAGGAACAGCACTTGCCTGGGGAAATAAAGCCGGACGATTTCTCCTTCTTCGCCCTGCATCAAGTAGGTGCAGCTAGTGTGAGGAGGGTACCAATGAGCCACCGACAAAAATATCCCTTCTGAGTCTCTGGAGGCCCTGAGGCTCTCAGAGGACAGGAGCCAGTCGCAAGTACCATTTCTGCTGCCCGCTGTATCAACGTGACCTGGCCAGTTTCCAACGTTGAAGTGGAATCCAGTATTTAACAGCGGACCTGCAGTTAGCAAAAATATTTTTTGCGCTTGTAGAAGTTCATGTTATTTAGGAATCTTTCGGGCTATTTGAGTTGGATTGTTCATTACCTGCAGGCGATGTGACAAATTCCACAAAAAGATCCTGCGAAGTGCCAATAATGGAATAAGGAAACTTTCCCATGCCGCAAAAAATCCCTATAACTGGACTCAGCTCGTTCTTTCCATCGTGGATCTTGATGTAGTCGTAGGGGCAGTTTTCTTTTCCTACATCCATTGGTTGTGAGTGTGGAATCAGAAAAGTACCACAAGATTCGCTTACCGGATGATATCGGCCTCATGGGGCAAGTCATGATGTTTTCACATCGTTGGCCGTCGATGTTGAACTCTTCGTTTTCTATGTAGAGCTTAATGAAGGGCAGCCGGGTGTTCAGGTAGTATCGACAGTGCAGATTTCTGGGATAAACGCCTGGATAAGCGGGCGATTGCACGTAGCATGTTTGGAGGCGACAGTCTTTGAAGATTCGCTCACAGTAAGACCTGCAAGGCATTAAAGCAGGGTTGACGACAATTTCCAAACTTTTGTGATAGAAATCCGTCGATATGAAAATCGCCAAACAATAACAATTCTTATAAACGGACCGTTATCCTCGAAATAGAGCCGCCAATATGCGAATACGTGATGTAAAACTTCCTCAAATGGATGACCATTTGTCACAGCAGTCGCGTCCAGCATTTGTCTGATATCGTGTTCCACATTTGAGCGTATAGAGTTTCGAGTTGGGATGGACACAAAAACGATGGACGATCTCTTTTTTTTATTAACTTAAATTGACATCTCTTCCGTAGACATCCGTTTGTTTTATGAACGAAAACGGCAAACATGAATTGGAAACTTGAGCCGAAAAGATGGAAGAGATGAAAACTGACTCGACCTTAATAACTTAAAATAGATGATCAATAAAACGGTATTGGAGATGTGACCCGAAATGGAGACGTAAATTTTATGTTTCTGAAGTTTGATAAGGGCGCTCACTGAGACCCGACAAGTTTGTTACAGTTTGCGGATGTTTTTTTGTTAGATTTTATGTTTTCCACATTAACAGTTCACAACTTTATACATTTCATAAATCAACTTGAATTTGCGGCTGAGAGTCGGTTTGAATCAACAATTTATCAACTGAAATTCATCCATTTACATTGTAACTTGAAATAAAATGTGCTGTTGGCACACACCAAAGTGGACGTTAAATATTCGGGTGTCTAATCGTTGTATATTCAAGACGACAGATGAACTGCAGAAAACAGAACGTGGTAGGAATTAACCATTTTTGAATATTAGCAAAGCTAAACAAATGGAAAGGACTAAATAGATGAGTGGAAAATATCCAGGTCCAGAGTATTTAGTAGAATGAAAAAAGTAGTTAGAAAAGCAGAGGAAAATGTCGTTATTTTCTGAATGACTGGAGCCAAATCAAAGCCAAAACTTTATGTGCATTTGCTTCTTTTTACTGCGTCGCCTCCTTCCGAAGATTGACCAGTTTTAACCTTCTGCTCGATTTCTTCAGCGATCTTAATTACAACGTTCAAAATTTTGAGCTTTTCGTGCTTTTGGGCCCTAGTGGAAAATAAAATCCTGCCAACGTTTCGCAAGCACTAGTGACTTGAATCTTCAGAGATGCTCGGATGCTTGCAAAGAACGGCTTGTTCTCAGTTTGAACCGAGTCCATTAATTAGCCACTTGAAACTGATAAAATAAGTAAATAGAGAATATTAAACTCGCCAAGCAGCAGCAGCAGTAACATAAAAGACTGGATTACCAAGCAATTTCACAGCAGTACAAACAAAAAAGAAAATGCGCCCAATTAAAAAAAAAATTCCCAAGCCGGTGAATCAATCAACAATGGAATTTGACGTGGGTCCGCTATTAAATTGCCTGTTTAGAATTCGTGTTTCATTCAAGGCTGCTGTGTATAAAACACCCCTAAAAAGTTTTTATGTGAAGGTATCGATTTATGTTTTGCTTATGACTTGCAAATCGTCCTCTTTCAGCAAAGACGTGGTATTATTAATATTTAGTATGCTCAAAGTGTGCCACATTTCAATCGCAAAACAGTTTAATTTAGTTTCTTGCCCTTTTTTTGGCAAATTCCTTTCAAATTCTATTCTGTTTTGCTTCGTACCTTTTTATACCACACGAATACTAATTAATTAATTCTAGAATGGGAGAAGAGAACTTTTCCGGCAGTTGAATTAGGTTATTTTATCTAACTAGGGAATAAATATTAATAACTACCATATAATTTTATTGTAAAATATATTAATTTCCTCAAAATGCTTTGAAGTCTACATCAACTTCATCTGAAAGATGCAATGAATAGCATGGAAAAACAAGCCAGAAGCTTTAGATACGAAATATTTGATATTTTTCGCATATTTTAAGCGGTTTTTGAGCAGTCACGTTCTTTAACCGACAAAAACTTTCATATTGTGGACCAAAATCCTGTAAATATGTACATTAGAGAGCTTCTTATGGTGGAAACAGTCAATTTAGCAAAAAAACCGCATGTAAAATCAAAGTTCTGGCCAAAAATTTGAGAAGGAGTGAGGTAGATTTTTTGAAAAAACATTAATTCTCTAAACAATACAACAAGTTTATTAAAAATCCCGCTAGAAACTTCAAAGAAGAGAAAATTGAAAAACATGATAGAAGCTTTAAATTCGAAATAATTCACATTTTTTTACTATTTTAAGCGATTTTTGGTCACGTTTTTTAACCGACAGTGACGTTCTTAGAATGGACCCAAACACTGCAAAATACCCAAACACATTCGGAAGCTGCTTATGTCGAGAACAATAAATTTGGCACAGAAAACACGATTTTTTATTTTTGACCGCAAATTTCATAAGATTTTTTTAAAAATTATTAATTTGCTAAAAACGCTTTGGATTCTACACCAATTTCATCTGAAAGAAGTAAAGAATGTAACGAGCTCATAGGAAAACATACTAGAAGCTTTAGATTCGAAATAATCGGCTTTTCTACGTACTTTAAGCTATTTTAGAGCAGCCACGCTTTATAACGCACGGTAGTTTTTCATATGTTTTTCAAATGTTAGGAATTTATCATCAAAATAATTTATTGAGGTAAAAAACACGCATCTGAAATTTTGTGTGTGTGAAATGTTTCACGAAAAATTTCTTAAGTAGACATTGATTTTTTGAAAAATCATTAATTCTCTGTTTGAATTCTACATCAATTTCACCTAAAGGAATCGAGGAACTTGCTATAAAATAGAGTTCCGAAATAAGCGACATTTTTTGCTTATTTTAAGCGATTTTTGAGCAGTCACGCCCACACGAATAAATTTTGAAACTAATAACCTTCAAAGCTGAGTTAATTCGCATTTAATATTTACATTTTAAATAAAGACCCTCCGTCTAAAAAAAAAAGCACTTAATGAACGTACATTTTTACAATCATTCTTATGAAACGCCCGTTAAAACCTTTGCTTTTCACTTTCACTGAATGGGTTGAACTTTTCGAATTTTTTAAATCAATGTATATACTTTTCAATAGAGCGAATTTTCTGCAAATGAAAACATTTAATCCCACAACAACTTTCTTGCATGTAAACCAAGATGGAAACGTTTAGATGAAAGTTTCCAGGATGGTGCGAGCAAAAGGTATCGCTTACTGGCAAACATGCACGGATGAAGAAAAACTTTTAACGACAACATTCAATATCACGGAATCGCAAACAGCCTGAAACCTTTTAATCGCTTGTAGGAAAGAGAAGCAAATCAAGGAAAAATCCATACATTTTTTAACTCACAAAACATTTATTTAAATTTAATT